CGACCCAGAGCAAGGCCCATACTGGGAGTCTGCGAACTAGTGCACAATGGGAGGCTGATCTGCAAAGGACCCATTTGGAGCTCCCAATCCCGCTGCCACCATGCCACCAGTTGCAACAACCATGCCGCCGTCGCCCATGCTGACGCGATTGCTCGACATTTCATCACCAACAAAAACGCTGCTGCCTCCTTTGCCTTCGGCGATGCCAGAAGCAGTACCCCATGGGCCTGCTGTTGTTCCTGCCTCACCGCCGCCACCCACAGCGCCCATACCCCACGCGGGAGAGCCGCTACCGGCAGCAGGCGCCGCCTCCGCCGCATCCAAGTGTTGTTGCGCCGCGCCGGCACTCCAGGGGGTGAGGCTGCCCGCAGCGATGACATTGGCATTGGAGGCGACGGTGTTGCTGGCCACGGAAGAGGAGGGCGGCCAGTAGGGCGACGGCAACGGCGACAGCGCGGCATTAGCGGCACGACCGGAGTGGCTGACGGGTGACGCCCATGGGCTGGGTAGCTGTCGCTGCGGTGGCGGTTGCTGCTCCTGCATGCAACGGTTGGTTAGGGGGTACGGCAACTGCGGCTGGGGGTGGGAGGGGCAGGTGTAGGCGGAAGGCGGAGAGTGGACAGGACTAGAGCCGTAAGCTACTAGCTGGCTCGGGTTCTGCGGGTAGTCGTTGATGTTGGACTGGTAGCTGTACGGCTGCTGCTGGGAATAGGAGTGATGATGGGGGTGAGGATGGGAAAGAGGTGTCGGTTGAATCGCATGCGCCTGCCAAATCGCGCCGCTTTCATGACCGGTAGGCGTCATAGGCGGTCCATGCACGTTGGGGAAGGAAGGCCGCCGCTGCACCTGCCCCTGCTGTTCCTGCCCTTGCTGCTGTTGCTGAGGTGCCTGCGCCTCAGATCCGGTAGAGGGGTTGCGGCGCCAGAGGGACCGAGCCCACCACTTCGATAGACCTCCGCTGTTGCCGCTCCCGCTGACGCTGTTAGTACCTCCGTTGCCGGCGCCGCTTCCCAAGCGACTCGACAGGCCCACCGCTGCCACCGCAATGTCTGCCTCACTTGCAGACATCGCTGGACTACGTAGCTCCCCGCCGCGACCCGCACCACAGTCGCCGCCTCCGGCGGCGCCGCGGGCAGTAAACGCATTGCCGGCACCGTACATGCCGCCATCCTCGCTGCGACCACGTTGGGTCTCCGCCGCTGCTGTTGGGGAAGCAGGAATCACCAGTGGTATTGGCACGGGCACCGAACGACCTCTGCGAACCCCTCTAGCGCTGCTAATGGCATTTTCCTCTCCGCTGCTTGTGCTGCCGCCGCCCTTGGCACCGCCTCCGACGGCCATGTCCAGGGGTGTTTGCCGCCGACTTGGGCCTTGGGCTACCATCTCAACGCCGGCGGGTGGGTCGCCAGTGGGTCCAATCAGGATACCGTCACCGCCGCTGCTTGCTGCGGCATAGTGGCTGCTAGGGCCGCTCCCATCGCCGCCGCTACTACCCCTGCCACTCCCTCCGCCACGCCCTCTGTGATCCACAGCCTGCGTCGAACTGACGGCACCGCCACCGCCGCAGGGGGCTTTCCCGCCTTTGCGGCCATTGCCACCGCTCGGCGCATCGGTTGAGGAGCTTCCACAACCCGTATCCGCCGGCCCCGTCGTGACGTCACTCTCACGCATCTGCCCTGTGCTACGACGGCTCAGCGTCGCGCGGCTTCCCTTCCGACGAACCCGGGGTGCAGCCGTCGAGGAGCTTTCCTGTCCCGGGCTCTCGTATCCCGTGCTCCCTGTGTCGTGTGCAAGGTCGCAGCGGCTCCGTGCTGAGAAGAATCGCTCCGAGCGGTCCTTCCTCAGCCGCCTGGAAGCAACTGTCTCTGCGTCCCACTCCTCCTCGACGTCAGTCTCCGTTGACCCTCTTTCCTTGCCTCCGCCAGACCCGCTGGACAAGCGTCGGTCCGTCGCATCGTGTTCCGCATTCGATGCCGCGTCAGTTGAAGAAGCCGCGGCATCGGGCGAAAGCTCCGAAGGCGCCATAGGCGTGTGCGCCACTGGTGTCGACGACGCAGCACTAGCCGAATCCTCCGCCAGGGCTGGAAGAGTGCTCCGCTGGTGTTGCGGCTCAGCGGGCCTCAATCTCAGTCGCGGCATGAGCTGCGGCGGCTGAGGCAAGGGTTGCGGCGGGGGCTCCGCCGCCGCCGCCGCGGCCTCCGTAGGCGTCTCTGCCGATGGTCTTGGCGGTGCCGCCGTGGCCTTTTCGCGGAGGCCGCCGCTACCACCAGTGACAGCACCGAAGACTGACGCTGCCATCTGGGCCAAGGAAAGACCCAACTGTCCGGCATGGGCTAAGGGACTTAGCCGCTGAGGCGACGGCTGCTGTGGCAGTGACGGTGTCGACGACGGAGCCGCTGATGCAGCCGCTGACGCCTCCGTTCCCAGCGAGGATCCTGTCACTGGCGGCGGACGCATCGACGAATGCGTCGATCCGCTGCCTTCTGTCGGCGGAAGAAGTGCCCCTGATGGCATCCAAAGCTGACGCTGCACCTGCGCCGGTGGCGACGATGCCGCTGGTTGCAGTGCCGCCGCCGGCAGTGGCGCGACTGGCGTCAGCACGGGGCCCGGAGCGGAGCCCATGGGCAGCATGGGTGACGGCGACGGCGAGGGTGCCTTGGCGGTGTGCTGGGTGTTGCTGACACCTGTCGGTGCAGGAAATCAGGTATAACGCGCCCATCATTCATGTCATATGTCAATTGTCCTAACAGAAGATCACTAAAAGCCTCTTGACTGCTGCGCTAATCGCTCCCGTCCATGAGCCCTCCACCCAGCACCAACGACGTTATGCATGTCTGCCCAGTCCCCACATACCCGAGGAGCCGGCCGCCGCCGTCACAGGAGCAGTAACGCCGCTGCTGCTGGTTGCGAAATCCTGGCTGATCCGGGGTCGATTGCGCGCAGCCGCCCGGGCTACACGGCTGGCCCGCTCATCCGCTATCAGCGCATCCAGGCGTGCGAGAACCTGGGGGGTACGGCGAAAGGAGTGATACTTTAAGAGCTCAAGGGACTTCCTCCAGGACATCGCCGTCTGCTCATATACCAGCTATCTCTCTTTAAATGGTAGCATAACTGAAGTCCTTCCCAATCCTCGCTGATGCCAAGTCGGACAAACACGGCCGCATTTGCTTATCTGCGTCTCCTCTAGCAAGGAGCCTCACCTGCGCAGCCGTGGGCCTGGCCCGCGGGTCTTCCGCCCAGCACTCCTTAACCAAGTCCGCGAGGCCCTTGGGAACCCATTCAGGCAGCTTCGGCCGGCGGCCCTGAATAGCGACCGCTAGGATTATCGCGAACATACCGCCTATGGGTAGGCCGCCGCCTGCGCCGTCCGGGGCGTTGCCCTTTGCGAGGTTGTCGAAGGGCCGTCGGCGAGTGAGCGCCTCATAAATGATGCAACCTGTGGGAGCGGACAGAAAAGCGGAGACATAGTTGCGTGGAGTGGCTGAGGTACTGATGTAAAACCGGGGCAGGACAAGTCACTCTTACCCAGGCTGTAAATATCAGCTCGCTCGTCCACCCGTGTGCCGTTGAACAGCTCCTGTGGTTGCACAAACAGCAGCGGCGGATGCGGGGAAAGCCTTCAGAAGTCGACGGCGGATTCAGGCAACCCAAAAGGCCTAAATTGGCGCAACCGGAATTGGCAGTGCATCTTCTGGCTGCATGCTGGCACTTAACGGTAACCCTGCTCTGCATGCACAGCTGCCTACACGGAAAGCTCCCAAGAGATGTTTAGGGTGACGTAACCCAACGCTTACCGGGGCCATGTAGTTGGGCTGCGGCGGGTCGGCGGGTCCACATGCGAAGCCCGGCAGGGAGGCCCGAACGACGGAGAACGGGGGCGCGAGGGGGCAAGGCGAGGGGGCAAAAGGATGAAAACCTCGGGGGAAAGGGTGCGCGAGGTGTCCTAGATAGGATGCTGGACGGGTTGGGACAACCGACAAACAGATGCATACTGCATGTTGGCATCAACCAGCAGACAATCAGGACGCTCGGGAGTACATGCTAGCAAGCGATCCGATAGCGCCTCTCACCGTGCCTCCCTGCTGCGTGACGTTGACACAGGAGCGGAAGGGGTCCTGCGAAGAGGGCGGAGTGACAGGAACAAAGAAGCTGAAAGAGGAAATGACATGCATGCAAAACTACAAGCATGCCGTACGTTGCACAAGAATACACGTACCGGTTCGCAGTGGGCCCAGCCTTCCAATTACGGCCTCCGCGCCCCGGTACAGTCTTCCTAGAACTTCACAGCTCGCCCGACATGGATCCAGGCAACTCCCAACCTGCCCTCTTCCGCACCCTGAGTCGGGAGATGCCAAAGTCAGCGATCTTGGCCCTGCCCTTGTTGTCTAGCAGTACGTTGCCCGGCTTGAGGTCTGTGAAGATGTGAGGGAGGGAGGAGGTGAAGGTGAGGAAGGGCAAGGTGGGGAGGAGAAGAGAACAAGGAGGAGAGGGAGTAGCATACCAGTTACCGAAGCACGTGTGTGGGTAGGCGGGGCCACAGCGGAGGACCCACACCATGTCGCGGCAGTAACCAGCAGGAGCTACCGGTTGCAGCTCCCGCACTACCCTCTCCCAACCTACCCCTGTGCAGCACTCCGAAGCGGTGTATGAGCGCCAGACCCTCCGCCACGTCACGAGACAGCTGCGGAGGATGGTGGCGGAAAGGAGCGGATTCGGACAGGGAGCAGACTGAAGGACGGCCGTTTCATGCCGACATGGCAAAGCGCAATAAAGCCCGTAATGTGATACTGACGTCCTCGCCCTCTTGATCTACCACCGCAGCACCACACCTGCAGCAATTCCAAGTAGTCCAGCCTCCTCATGTGCAGGTTGCTAATGCGGTCGCCCAGGTTGCCCCCCTCGCAGAGCTCCATGATGAGAGCCGCATGCTGACCACCGCCACCCCTATGATTCGCCGACCGCGAGCCAACAGCAGCCGCATGGCGGGATCGGGTGGGGTGGTTGGCGGGGTGGCCGCCACCGGCGCCCATGAACGCTCCCGCCAGGTCAGCACCTGAAGCTAACGTTTCGGGGCCGGCGGCGGTGGCAAAGGTGGCTGGTAGCGTGCCGACGCCGGGGGCGTGTTGGTCCAGCGGCGTGGGAGGCGAGGGAGAGGGTGAAAGGGAAGCCGCGGCGCCCGGGGGTTGTGCGGGGGTGACAGGAGCGGGGACGGTTGAATCTACACCCGCTTCGCCTCTGCTGTCGCGCCTTGATTGCGACGTCCTGCCAGCCCCGCCGATGCTCGATGTCTGAGTGCCAGCCGGCCCCAGGCCCAGGGAAGCAGCCAGCAGCTGAACCACCCGCTCACAGTTCCTACGGTTGGTAGGCGTTGCTTATCCATTAACGAAAACCCAGGCGAAGGAAGTGCTCGCACGTCAGCGTGCTAGCCCCCCATCACTCCCTTAACCTTGCCATATCACTAAACCTTACCATATTACTAAAGAAAGCCCCATAGCATGCACACATGCGCTCATCACGTTTAGCCCTCTTCCTCACCTGAACCGAGCAGTCAGTTGGGCCTCCTTGGCGAGCGCCTGCCGTTGCTTCTCGTCCTCAATCACAACGGTCTTAACCGCCACCTTGCGACCTCGAAACGTGGCCTCGTACACCTGTGGAAGCAGCCGAGTACAGGTATCGAAGTGTACATCAAGAAGCTACTGAACACGAACATCACATTCGATCCATGCCCACGCATGCAGTGTCCTCAACCCAGCAGGCCCCTCTGCCACCCCCCTCTAACTCACCCCCTCCCACTCACCCTGCCAAAGCCGCCCACTCCAATCAGCCTCCCGAGGAAGGGCTCCACCTCCGTCTCGTAATCCACATCCAGCTCGATGGGCGCCAGCGTCAGCGACATAGGCAGGTTCATGCCCGTCAACGTGGCGGGACCTGACGCAGCAGCGGCAGCAGCAGCTGCGCCCACGCCGGCAGCGCCGCCGCCGCTCATCCCAGCGGCGCCCGCAGCGGCGGCCGCGGCCATTGCCGCCGCCGCCGCGCCGCGTACCAGCGATCCCCGTGGGCTGAAGCTAGGAGGGGACCTGGCGATTGAAGCCGCCCGCATATGCAAGTAGTGCATATAATGCGGGGGCACTGGAGGTCCAGCCTGTGCCTCGCGCCCGGCTTCCGCTGGGGGCACCTGTCCGGCACCGCCGCCGCCGCCAGCGCCGCCTGCAGCCGCCGCCGCCGCCAGCGGCGTTCCTAACGTACGGCGACGGGGCAGGCAGCGGGAGAACAGAGGCGCCGCTGCCGTGTCGCCGCCTTGTACCGCCTCCGGCGGCTGCGGTGGTGCGAGGTAGCTTTCTCCCGCTTGGGGCTGCTGGTCCGGCAGTTGCTGCTGCAATACGGCAGGCTCGGGCTGTAGCGGCGGCAGTAGCAGTTGCGGTGGGTAGTCAGGCAACAGCTCCCAGGTCTCTGCGACGCGGCCGGTCCATGTCTTGGCCTTGCAACTGAAGGGCGATAGGCGATGACATTGACCGAAAAACGGCCAGGATGAGCAGTGAGCAGTGAGCCAGTGACAATGAAGCCATGCGATGGGGAGTGGGGGCAGGTGCAAGGGGCCATGCCATGTCCTAGGCTTGCAACAAACAACAAACACCCATGAACCCAACAATAGCACTCTTCAACCCCAACAGACAACTTACGCGAGGATCCGTAGCCTCACGTCGTCGTCGTCCGGTCCCGGCACCGCCGCCAGCGTCGCCACACGTTCTGCTACCCCCTCTCCTCTTCCTCCATCCCTGCTTCTCCTCATGCCCCCTCCTACGCCTCCAGCTCCCTCCAGCTCTGCTTCGCCGCCTCGTCCTTCTGCTGCGCCCTCCTCCTCTCCCACTGCCGCAGCTGTCCCCGCCGCCATGGTTGCGGTTCCCTTGCTCGCCATCCGCGCCCGCAGTTCCTGACTGGTGGGTCGCGACAGCGCGGTGACTGCCGCCATGAAGGCCTCAGCCGGCATGGTAGGGCACTTGGGCAGCAGCCCCAGACCCAGCGGGCCACCCTTGGCAGGGAAGTTCTCCTGCCACCAGCCCGAGTTAAGAACGTAGTGCAGTTCGCTGCCTTCAAGGGGGAAGGGAAGGGCCGGTTGGGTTGGTTGAGCGGAACGGCACTCCGCGGTCATAGCAAGCGGCTGCGTCCCAACGGGGCGCACCATCAAGCCGTCACAGTTCCCTTGGGAGGTAAGCGGGACAGTGGCTAGGCAAGGCAAACAAAACGCAACCCAATACGCATTGCACATGTGCGTACCTTCCGACGCGGTGACATGTACCGCCAGAGCTGCGCTCAGCGGCGAGTAGGGGTAGGGCTGGTGCGTCCCCATGTACTCGTACGGCACCAACCCTTGACTGTCATCGTAGCCTCCGTCGTACCCTCCGCCGCCGCCGTTGCTGCTCCGGCTTGCCGTGCTGCCGGTATCGGATCTTCGAACTCCCGGCATCAACAGCCCCATGTATCGCGACAAGCGGCGGTCCACGCCCGGGAACCGCTCCTCTATCAAACGCCGGTGACTTCCGGCGTGGTGGTGGTGGCGGTGCTGATGGGGGCCTGGCGCCGGCGGCGGCGGTGGTGGCGGAGGTTGGTGACGCCGCCAAAATAAGAATGCGGCCACGGCAAGGAGCATAGCACCTGCGGCGCCGCCGACGCCGCCGCCAATTGCCGCCGCCTTTCCCCTGCCCCCATCGCTGCCTCCAGGCTCAGAGATGGCGACGACGGGGTTTGGGACGTTTCCACCGACCGCCGGCTGTGAGATCTGCTTGTCGGCAATCTCCTGCCAGTTTGACGGTACTGAAGGTGCAACCGGCTCGTTCGTTGAGCAACAATATGCCATGCTGAACGTACAGTCCTGCAGGGAGCCGGAGGCGAGGAGATGGGAAAGAGGTGCGCAATTACAGAAGCAGTTACACCCAACCTATGCCCAAGTATGCCACGTAGAAGGGAGGCCAAGTGCCCCGAAGGCCCCAAGCTACCAACGCCTTGCCATGTCCGGGTAACAACGGCTGTACCACCGCTCAGCAGCCCTCTCCCTCCACCCATGCACCCACCAGCCCACCCCCCGATGCTCGCTGACAGCGGTTGCCCCTCGGAAGAGCAGCGTTGACGTCCGAGATAGGGGCGTCCGACGCAGGTTCGGGGGAGGTGGCCCATGAGGCGGTTGGGGGGCTGCCCCAGGCGATGAAGGACGAGTACGAGCCCAAGTAGGCAGCGATGCTGCGCAGATGCGGGTGGGACGGGGTGGGCATTGTAACGCAGCGTTTGCGGAGCAGGATGCCATGCAGTTAGGTTGAATTTAAGACAGATCAGAAAAGTGAGCGTGTGCTGACCCAAATGAGTCGCAGGACGGACACCGGCGGACAACGTACCCACACCCATGCCTGCGTGCTTTCGCTCACCGGGGGTTGGGTAGCGCCTTCCTGAGCACCACCGCCTGACCTCCTACACCGGCGGCGCCAGCCGTCGCATTGCGGCCGGGTTGCTGGCCGGAACGGTTAGTACCAGCCGACGTAGCGGTGCGGACCACAGCGGCGCTGGCGGCCCCGCCGCTGCCTGTACCTAGGGTAGATGCATTGCGGCTCTGTCCACTGCCACCGACGGGAACCGGATTAGGGACTGGTAGAATGGGCGTATCCATGAAGCTGTAGTCCTGCCTTGCGTCCATGAGCTCGCCATTCACCGTTTGGATGGACACAATCATGTCTAGCGATGCAAGTCGAGGGGTACCCTCGGGCACCTGCCATCTGGGGTCAGGGGGCGCCTGGAAATGCTGCTCCTGCTGCTGCTGTCCTGCGCCCTGTTGTTGTTGTTGTCCGGCTGCCGGGTCGCTGCCATTGATGCTGGCGTTCTGCGGCAGAAGCGCGCCTGAGCCCCGAGCAAAGCTTACAATGAGGTTATAGCGGGCGCCCCTCACGCCTCTCACGCCCCGCATGCCTATGAAGAACTGCCCGCTTAGAGACGAGCAGCCGCCGACTGTAAGGGAGGCCGTTGGGAGGGATTGTAACCTTTGTAGGCCAAGGGTTGCAGGTACCGGTAATGGAAACGGGGTAAGGATGCAAGGAGAGGCGCATGACTAACATCCCACCCCAGGAGGCTCCAAGACGTACCCAACTCTTTGCTGACATCTGCACATCTGAAGATGAAGGAGGGGGCATCCGTAGTAGGGCCAGGCGCTCCGGTACCCGTGGTTCCTGCTGCCGTGATGTAGGCGCCGCCGGCCCTAATTGGACCTTCAAACCAGTACGCTATCTGCACGTGGAAAACCAGGATTGCACGCGAGCGAGGACAGGCGGATGTGGGTCATAAGGACATGTACAACCCTGCAGGCCCACTAACGGCTTGGCATCGCACGGGCTCTGCGTACCAGCTGATATAACAGCTTAGGTGCAATCCACTTCGCTGCTCCCAGTTTGCTCCTACACCTCAGCCGTACACATAATCCTACCCAATCGTTTTTCCTGCCCCACCAATGTACCTTCACAACATTGAGGGGTATGACGCTGCGGCTGCTTAGGTTCTTGATCCTGCAGGCACAGCGCCACGCGGCAAAATGGGCTCGACAGGGAACGATGACACGCATGGCATGACACAGCTGAATTGTCTTGTTTCTATACCCACCTTATGAACATCTGAGTGTAGGCGCTAACAAACAACTCTTCACTCGTGATCGCCCCTGGCGTGGATCCCGTGCCAGCAGCCGCCGCAGCGCTGCCGTTGTCGCTGCCCGCCGCGACGGCAGCAGGTGGGCCAGACGGCGCAGCACTGGCGTTGCTGCCGGCAGCGCTGGTGTTGGCCGGGACCGGGCGGCGGTAGATGATGGGCATGTAGTCCACCTGCGTGCATGGACACCGGCACGAGCAAGTGCCGTAAGCGGGGCTCACACAGCAGCTAGGCGGGCCCGGGCAGCCAAGCACGCAAGGGCCTGTTCAAGACCAGCTCCTGACAGGATCAACCGTCGGGAGTTGCACACCTGCAGTATTGTTGGAAGATTGGTTGTGAGGAGCGGTACGGCAACTGGCTCCGCAGCCGAAGCGGTGTCACCAGCGGCGTCGGTGGCGTTGGCATCCGCATTCTGGCTCTGCTTTTGCTCCTGAATGGAGTTGCAGAAAGGCACAGTTGCAAGTTAAATGAGTTAATGAACGAAGGGTTCAAACCTTGGATAATGCTGGAGTTTGCTACGCAAGTTCCGTCTAACCTTAAGAGGCCACGTCCTGCACTTTCCCAGGCTAATCTAATCCCGTGTAGCACAGTTCCGACCCACGGGTCGCCGCACAACCGTGAATACCCGCCCAATTGTATTATCCTCGTCGCCATGCCCTGTATCAACACCCACAATGACCTGGCGATCACGGTAAGCCAGCGGCGTGCAGTTCATGTTGTTGAGGAACACCCCTGCCGGAGCCGCCACCCTCAGCGGCGCCGACGCAGGACCACCGAACGCGGCAACGATGGGGTTGGCGGATGAAGAAGATGCGGCTGGCCCCTTGTGACTAACAATCTTGAACGAAACGGCGGGCGCATTCGCCATTAGCGTGCTGTTACCTGGGGCAGGCGGCCGGGCCACGAGTGGAAAAAGGGAAGGGTGAACTTGTGCCCTAGTTACGTTGGGTTGCTGCAGGTTGCGGAGGGAGGGTACAACATGTTGCCGATTTCCACGCTTGCACGCCGTGGTGGTGATTTGTCTACGCAGGAATTTCGCGAAGCCTATTCCGATAGAGCATACCCAGCCGCGTGCGAATGCGCACACGCCTGCTCAACACCCGGCTATAGTCGATCTACACTGCATAAATATTGAGTTACCGTGGCAACCAAAGGTAGCACATGCAAAGCCCCCACCCACTTATGACTGTCACGCGCTGGATGTCGGCGGCGGGAGCCGAGGCGCTGCCTTGCGGGAAGTCCTGCGGAGCGGCAAATACCGTGACCCAGATGTGAACTCCCCTTTCCGCATCCAATGCGGAGGTGCATGCAGTGAAAGTGCGACAAGAACAAACCAATGACGCCTGACGTCGGACGCACGTTGGGTCACTGACCCACATGGCGGCGCGGCCATGTCTCCGAAACTCCCCTCCACCTCCGAAACCGGACCCGCTGAGTGAAATGCTACACTGCAGTGACTCAACCCACCCCATCCTGCCTGCATACCTGCACCGTCACGTTCCATATGCGGGCTAGGCTGGTTGCCGACCCAGCCGCTGCCGGGCCCGTCGCCACCACCCCTGCTTGCGCGCCCCCCGGTAAGGCCGCTGCTCCCAACCCGTACACGTCCGTGCCATCGTCTAAGGCCTCCCCGGCGCTGAAGGTCCAGCCAAGAACCCACGAGGTGATGGCTGGGGACTGCGGGTCATGAGGGGATTTGGGTCGCATCAGGGGGTACCGGACGGTCTCCATGTGTACTGGGAGAAGCCGCAGCCGAGGAAAGCTGCATCTGGAACAGGACAGGACAGGACGCATGCAACGGACCGCGATTAGCACTATGGATTCCCTGCACACGCTTACTGGCACCGTAGCAATCCCTTCATCGGAACTCCATCCACCTAAATGACAATCTATGGTTAAAGCCGTCACCGCCTTGCACCTAGACCCTTCCAAAGACCAGTGTCTTCCTTACCTTCATAGACTCGGCTTGCACGGTCCATGTTCCCAAAAAGACTGGTACGTCGCCTGAAGTTGACGTCGGGTCTCCCACACTAGCCTCATACCGCAGCAAAACTATACAATTTGTGGTGTTTGCAGACGCCGAGTCATCCGCGGCCGTCAGGGCGGGGGGTGTGGCCGGCGCAGAGGGGTCCGACACTGCCGCCGCCGGAGATGATGTCGCTTGGTCCTGCATCAGCCGCCGGCGTCCACTTCTGCGGGGGTAAGCACCGGCGCCGGCACCGCGGATGCCTAGACCCATGGCAGGGATGTTGTCCGCATCCGTGTACGCAAGTCTTCTGCTGCGTGTTTGCGTGGGACTGCGTCTATCGAGGAAACCACTGCCGCCGCCGCTGCTGCCAACCGTCAAATCAACATGGCCGTTGAGTAGTTTCGTGTACACGTCGCCGTCGCCGCCTGTGGTGTCGAGGGCTGTGCCGACAGGCTTGGAGTGTTGACGTGATGGCGTGACTGGCGGATCGCGCGTTAACGCTGCTGTCGTGTGAGACGGTGCGCTGACAGTCAATCTTTGAGGCGGCGGCTGCGGCAGCGACGGCATAACTGAATGGCCTGAAGATGACCATAGAAAGGAACGCGTTGCGTCATCGCCGGCCAAAAGAAACCGCTGATTCTGTTGACGGCAGCTACTTGGCGCCGGCAACGCTGGCGGCTCAGGCAGTTGTCGTCCTCGGTTGTCTGGCGTGGAGGGCAGCCATGGCGATCGAGCATGGGTACCGCCCGCAGCGCTGGCGGCGGCAGTAGCGCGGCTACCCCACCAGCCAGTATCAGCCGGTTGGGTTGCCGCCTCCGCGTCGTGAGCAACGTCCCTGACGCGGCGGTGCAACGGGCCGCCGCCGCCGCCGCGTGGGGTTACGGCGGTTCGTCCTGGCGGCACCACCGCTGCCGCCACAATCGCCGCCAGCGTCACAAGCAGGGCAGGCCAATAGATCGTACAGGATCGTGGCAGCCGTGGCGGCGGCGGAAAACAGGACGATGTGGGTCTTGTGGGCGAGAGGCGCCGCAGAGGTGGCGTCCCATCCCAACGAGCTAGCTGGGCCGCTTTCATGTGATGCTAGGCCCGAACCGAGGAGACGAGCAAGCTCCAACTGGTTGCGTCTGCAAAGCCATTGGAAAGAGGAAAGTCGCGGCTGTAATATCCCCGTAAAGGCCACGACGCGGAAGTGTGAAAGCGTGCGAAAAAAAATTCCTGTCTGCAAAATACCATGCTATGCAAAGATGACCGATAACCTGTGCGACTGAGTTGCAAAGCCCGCTTAGCGCTAAGCCGGTTATGCTGCTGAAACAGGCAAGGTTTGCCTATGGCTGTGCCGATATTCGCTGTTGAAACACCTACATTCCTACATTACCACGCTCTCTGTAATTGTTCGATCGAGGGAAGAGGCGTTGCCAAGGCAATCCGGTCCTGGCTGGCTCCTTGGCTAGCACCTAGCGGCAAACATGAGAGCCAGGCGTGGTGGCATCTTTATTTCTTGAGGGCATCGAAAGTGCCGTTAAGCAAGATGACTGACAAAGCGAACAACGCTGTCGCAACCTGGCGGGAGTTGCGACGTATAAGACCACTCTGGACAGCTGACAGGCAGGGCGGACACAGACGCCTCCCCACCGCTTCCCCGGCAAGAGCTCTCTCCACGCTGATGGAAAGCGCTAGATCTAAGCGGACCCAGTTTCTGAGGTACTCCACAGCCCGAGGTGCGCGACGTGGCAGTCCTAGCTGCTTCCATCAAGAAGATTGCTCACCGATTTCCTCACTCCAATAAGCAGTAAGGTAAGGATCAGTTGCTGTCGCTGACATTCCAGGCAGCACGTAAACTTGACGAGATTCGGATTATTCCAAAGCCTGCCAAACTGCCGTCGCCCAGGGCCTTCCCATCATTAGCAGTTGCCTTCTACAGCCGTAAGATACTTTGTAGCATGTCACCAGTTAGCGGAAACTGGCTTCTCTGTTAGGTACGGACGTCTTGACAGTCGGGAAGTACTTTTCCTATGATTGGTTAATCTGCGGTCAACATGGGCTAAGTTTAGGTGAGGGGAAGCCACAGCAAGCACAAGTTGCGCTGGACCACGTCGCAAGTCGTCCACCATATCACGGATCGCGGAGTTGCGATGACGATGGTTGAGCTGTGGGCATAACTGGCCCAACCCGATAGCCCTAACCATCCGCTGCTTTGACCAACCTACCAAGGTATCAACAGTTTTACAGTAATACTCAAAGGATACGGTAGATGATCAAGAATCGTTTACATGCCGACTTGCCAGCTTGCACTGGAAATATCACTGCGAACTGCTCGTACCTTTCATTTCCCAACACAAGCCAACAACATTAAATACAGAATGCCACGTATCCATGTCGCCGCAAAAGGTACCCAGCAACATTGGCAACTACTGCACGGTTATCAGGACGGCTAGCAGTTACTTGTCGCTTGGATTGCTCTAGTCACGGAAGAGCTCAACTACGTGGCACAAAATTAAGGAATTCGTGTCTTCACAAGCGAAAGCAAACTTTTCAAAATCTGTCCTGTAAACGTCACATGACCCCTAAAATTTCAAACGTCGAATGGCCCGGGTTTGGTCGCTAAGGGCGCAGTATCATCCGTTATGCTTGTGTTCCGCGCAGACCATGCCGAGATGGCGCTCGTGTGCAGACTAAGCAGCACTAAGCTTGCGTCACCTCCAAAGGCCACCGATGTACGTCATCCCGCTGCGTCGCTCCTGGTAAATTTAAAGGGGCCAGACGGGCGAAAGCGAAGGGGCGGGTACAATTGGCAACTAAGGGTGATAAAACTACATATGACGTACAACCCAGATTAACAGGTGCGTGTCGCTGTGGCTTTTGTGCCTCGCGAAGTCCGTTAATACCTAGCGCCATGGGGTATTAGAGCAAACCATGGAATACAGCACGCATGTTTAACAATTCCAGTATAATTAATCCAAGAAGGATGCCCGGCAACACGCAACCGGGGATCCCAGTGTGAACCCAACATGCACTTGACCCATGGGTCACATTAGGCATTACATATGGGAAGCTGCACAGTACACGGCCATAAGCATGCCCGCCGTCATGCAATGTTCGTACATGGTGAATGGTGCATGACGGTGGACCGCCCGGGCCCTTAGGCGGCCCAACACGCGTCGGTGGGCCAACTGACCCATGGGTCATAAGCGGGTGTATGAACGAAAGTATTCCGCTACGGCTATGCAGCCAGTCCACTTTATGTTGGAAGCTGACGCGCGTCAATTGCAGTGGAGAGAACGACGATCATGGTACATGGGGCAAATCATGCCCGTGTTGCCCAAACAAAGCACACCGTGTATACGCGCACCCGGCTATCCTTTGCCGACGCAGGCCACAGCCCCCAAATCACCCCCGCTCTTTCAACACCATGCCCCACACGCGAAACCCCTACCCTGACCTCCGCATTCCTACCTCTTCTCACTCCGCGACGCAGCTTCCACTCTCATGCACTTGGCCCTCCTCCAACGCAGCGGCCAACGGATGCCGTGACACCGTTGCCCATCCCATTCCTGGATAGAGGCCGTGAAGTCGTTATGCCTTGGTCAATGTTATTGTCCGACGGTGTCCATCTAGAGCGCGCAGGTAACGGAGGCGCACGGCGGTTGGTGCAGTTGTAGTCGTGTCATGTGTCATTGGAATACCAGCAGTGCTGTCCTGACGCTACGGCTGCTGACGTTGCTGGAACATGCCGTCCCAGCGACGACGAAGTGTAGTGCTGACAACACAGAATGCTGAACAAACCCCGTAGGTGTCATTGGTGCTAGTGATTGATCTGGATGGACGCTCCTCCTGCTACTGCGTCATCAATAGCCCACAGCAGTCCGATAAGTAGCGACGCTATAGCAACATGGTCAAGACGGCTGCCTTTGCGTAAATGGTGGCGGCGGTATTGACAAACCCCTAATGCATTGTCGATGCTCCATCATGACAGTAATAGAGAGGTAGGCGATAGCTGCGATGCAGGCATCAGCCCAGCAGCATCGACCAAGAGGAGGGCGACCCAGATGCCCAGGGCCGCACCACGTCCAAGGCGAGAGACGCCCACAATGCGGACCAAATGGCTCCAAAGCGCTTGCCTTCCTACACATTTGCTGCACCGCCACTGTTGTCGTGCCCTGGAGCCTTCTCCTTACTGCCGAACCTCAAGCAATCACAACCCCCAGCAGCGGGCTCAGGTCCCAGCCCAGGGTATTGCTGCCCCAGACGGGCTGGACTACCTGGGGAGGGGGAGAGGAGCCGTCAGGGAGGGGGTCAGGTAAAACGGGGACCAGGGGACAGCGAATGCCTGCTACATAAGGAACCAAGCGCACAGAGCTGTCTTTTTTATCATAACGTCGCCAAACCAGGTGCAGTGCGCAACTGCCAAAGCTCGGTCGGATTAGCCGACATGAACAGACACCCCGTACCTCTCCGCTGTTGCCCTCGCTGCCGCCTCCTACGCCTCCTCTCCAGCTGCCTTACTTTTGGCTCGGCTTCCTCTGTCTCCGCTGCCACCACCTTCCCGCGCCAAGCTTGATCGATGCTCCTGCATGCCTACCGACCTCACCTCAGGCCGCCGTGCCCTGACCAACCACGCCGCCTCATCATGCCCGCATCCCCTCCTGGCTCCTGCTTCAACCGCGCCCCCTCCCGAACGACGAGCAGAATCGTCAGCAGAAGCCGCATCATTCATCACAGACGACGTGGGTGTAATGTCGAGCTTGGCGGCGGCAACCAAGCAACCAGCAGACCTCCGCCGCTCTTCTCTCTTCTCATCCTCTCCCGCCTCCTCTCCCAGCGCAAGGGACCCTAGCGGGGCTCCCGATCGTGCTGCCACCATGCCGCCAGTTGCAACACCCATGCCGCTGTCGCAACTGCGACTGATCTTCTTCCCACTTTCTCCTACCCCTGCTCCGCCGGTTCCAGCAGCAGGACCTCGTGGGCCTAATGCCGCTGAAGCTGCTGGATCTGCCACACAGCCTGCGCCGCCCACAGCGCTCATACCCCAGGAAGGGGCGCCGCCGGAAGCAGGTGCCGCCGAGACCCCAGCCCCTGCCGCACTGCCGTGCCGCTGCACTGCGCCGCCACTCCAGGGGATGAGGCTGCCCGAAGCGCTAGCATTAGCATTGTTAGCGGTTTTGCTGCTGCTGGCCGCAGAAGAAGGCAGCCAGCAGGGCGACGGCAACGGCGACGGCAACGGCGACAGCGCGGCATTAGCGGCACGACCGGAGTGGCTGACGGGTGACGCCCAAGGGCTGGGTAGCTGTCGCTGCGGTGGCGGTTGCTGCTCCTGCATGCAACGGTTAGTCAGGGAGTACGGCAACTGCTGATGGTATTGGAGGTGCTGTTGCTGCATAAGTGAAGGGTGAAGGGAGGAAGGGTACTGGGAGGAGGGCGGAAAATGCAGGCCGCTACTGAAGGTGCGGCTGCTGAGGGCGGTCCCTGCCGTGGTGGTGCGAGAGGGGCCGGCCGAGGGGCTGGGAGAGCAGGTGTAGGCGGAGGGCGGAGAGTGGACAGGACTAGAGCCGTAAGCAACCAGCTGGCTCGGGTTCTGCGGGTAGTCGTTAATGTTGGACTGGTAGCTGTACGGCTGCTGCTGGGAATAGGAGTAATGATGGGGGTGAGGATGGGAAAGAGGTGGCGGGTGGATCGCATGCGCCTGGCAAATCGCGCCGCTAGCATGATCGGTAGGCGTCACAGGCGGTCCATGCACGTTGGGGAAGGAAGGGCGCCGCTGCGCCTGCCCCTGCTGTTCCTGTCCTTGCTCCTGTTGTTGCTGAGGTGTCTGCGACTCAGGACCGGACGAGGGGTTCCGGCGCCAGAGGGACCAAGGCCACCACTTGGACAGACTTCCGCTGCCGCCCCAGCTATTGTCCGTGTTACCTCCCTTACCGGCGCCGCTGCTGGTGCCACCGCTTCCCATGCGACTCGACAGGCCCACCGCTGCCACCGCAATGTCTGCCTCACTTGCAGACATCGCTGGACTACGTAGCTCCCCGCCGCGACCCGCACCACAGCCGCCACCTCCGTACATGCCTCCATCCTCGCTGCGGCCGCGCTCAGTGTCCGCCGCTTCTGTTGGGGAAGCAGGAATTACCAATGGTATCGGCACGGGCGCCGAACGGCCTCTCCGCGCCGCGCTGACGCTGCTACTGCCGCTGTCCTCGCCGCTGCTGGCGTCGCCTCTGCCTATAAAATTGCCACCAGCGTCGCCGCCGCCGACGGCCCTGTCCAGAGGCGTTTGCTGCCGACTTGGGTCTTGGGTTACCAACGGCGGGTCGCCACAGTTTCCAAGGAGACCATCGGGGCCGATGCTTGCCGCCGCAAAGGGGCTGCTAGGTCCGCTAGCACTGCCGCCCCTGCCACTGACTCCGGCACGCCCGCTGCAGTCCCGAACCTGCAATGCGCTGGTGGTGCCGTCGCTGCCGCTAAAGGCCTCCTTGTCGCTGCGGCCGTTGTCACCGCTTGGAGCACCGACTGAGCAGCCTCCCTCACACGCTTCTTTACCCGCTGCCCCCGTTGTGGCGTCGCTCTCACGCGTCCTTCCCGTGCTATGGCTACTAAACATCACGCGGCTTCCCTTCCGATGAACCCTGGGTGCCGCCGCTGAGGGGCTTTCCTGACCGGTACTATCGTACTCCCAGCCCCCGGTCTCTGATGCAAGGTCACAGCGGCTCCGTGCTGATAAGTAATGCTCGTTCAAGCTGTCCCTCCGCAGCCGCCTGGGAGCTCCTGTCTCCGCATCCCACTCCTCCTCCACATCCGGCTCCGTCGACCCCCCTCCGTTGCCGCCGCCAGGCGCGCTGGACTCGCTGTCGGCCATGCGACGGGGCGTTGCATAGCGTTCCATCTCCGCCGCCGCGCCTTTTGCTGAAGCATGAGGCAGCCTCGCCGCCTCCGCCACCGTCGGCTCTGGATGCCCCATCGGCGTGTGCGCCACTGGTGTCGACGACACAGCACTGGCCGAGTCCTCCGCCAGGGCTGGAAGAGTGCTCCGCTGGCGTTGCGGCTCAGCGGGCCTCAACCTCGGAAGTCGAGGCATGAGCGGCGGCGGCTGCGGCGAGGGTTGCGGCTGCGGCGCCGCCGGCGCCGCCGCGGCCTCCGTAGGCGGTGACGGTGCTGCCGCCGGTCCTGCCGGCGCCGCCGCGGCCTGTTCACGGGGACCGCCGCCGCTGCCAGTGACGACGCCGAACACCGCTGCTGCCATCTGAGCCAAGGATAGACCCAGCTGCCCGGCGTGGGCAAAGGGATTCAGCCGCTGCGGCGATGGCTGCTGTGGGGGCGTCGGCGTCGACGACGGAGGCCCCGCTACCGCCAAAGCCGTTAACGGCGTTCCAGCCGAAGATCCCGTTACCGATGGCTGCATTGACCCACTGCCCTCTGCCGGCGACGGAAACGCCTCTGGCGGTGTCGACGGCTGGCGCGAACCCTTTAATGGCATCGATAGCACCTGCGCCGGTGGCGACGATGCCACTGGTTGCAGTGCCGCCGCCGGCAGTGGCGCGACTGGCGTCAGCACGGGGCCCGGAGCGGAGCCCATGGGCAGCATGGGTGACGGCGACGGCGAGGGTGCCTTGGCGGTGTGCTGGGTGTTGCTGACACCTGACGGCGGGAAGGACCCAAAGACAATATACGCTTAGCATGTTATTAGCATGTTATTAACGCAGTATTGCCCCAGGTAGCAGCATAGGTAATGGAGCACTGCAGAGCCCGGCCTGCGACTAAACCTCAGCCGGCCGTTCCCGTCAACTCTGCCGGCCCCTGATCCCATCTCTAAAAACCTAATCCTCAGCACCGAGCCCGCGACTCCCCTCTCCGTTCCGTAGAAACCCCTGGCCCACCTGAGGAGCCCGAAGCTGACGTCACGGGTGCCAGGCCGCTGCTGTTGCTGCCTGCATAATGCCGGCTGATCCGGGTTCGGCTGCCGCCACGAGCGGCCGCCCGGGCTGCCCGACTGGCCCGCTCCTCCGCTATCAGCGCATCCAGACGTGCAAGGGCCTGGCAGGTGCAGAAGGAAGGCGTAAGGTGGGGCAGTCAACTGCGAGCGCAAGGAGCGTTGACACCGCCATCCCCCGCCTGAGCAAGCATCGCTTGTAGTTCTATCTATCGCCTCTGTGCCACGTTGGACAGACCTACCCACATTCACCATCTGCTCACTCTTAACACGGAGCCTCACCTGCGCAGCCGTGGGCCTGGCCCGTGGGTCTTCTGCCCAGCACCCCCTGATCAGATCCGCGAGGCCCTTGGGAACCCATTCAGGCAGCGTCGGCCGGCGGCCCTGAATAGCGACCGCTAGGATTATCGCAAACAAGCCGCCCATGGGTAGACCGCCGCCGCCGGCGTCGGCGCCTGCGCCCCCCGCCGCAGCGGCGGCGGCTGCGCCTGCGCCACCCGGTGCGTTGCCCTTTGCGAGATTGTCGAAGGGCACCCGCCGAGTGAGGGCCTCGTACATGATGCAGCCTGTGTGAATAGGAAAGGATAAATTACGCTTGTGGAAGACCCAAGCCGCCCCTGCAGCGTAACCACACCGTCTCACCCAGACTGTACAGGTCAGCACGTTCATCCACTCGCGTGCCGTTGAACAGCTCCTGCGGTAGCACAAACGGCAGTGGGAGCGGTCACCCCGGTGCGGCGGTGGTATACAGGAGGTACTGGCCCCGGCTTGCATGTTAGCACGTGGCGCCAGGAGTTGCCGAAAAAACACAGGAACGTGTGGGGCTACAGATTCGCAAGTGCTTACCGGAGCCATGTAGTTGGGCTGCGATGTAGTTCATGGATGGCGTCCAAGCGGCAACGGATGAGCAATGTCCAGAGGGGGTGTCCGTCGGGGCGTCACGGCGGTGGAGAAAACGGGAAGAATAATCGTTAAGTGGGAAACAAAGATGGAAAACCGTCTGAACCCGCCCAGTCGCCGTCCTTGGCCCCCTGGCTCGTACGGACACACTCTAACACGCGTATGGGCTGTAACTGTAACTGCTGCCATCATACGAAGGCCACTGCATACAGTACCGCACCCAGCGCTCCTCTCACCGTGCCTCCCTGCTGCGTGACGTTCACAAAGGAGCGGTAGGGGTCCTGCGAAGCGGGCAAAGGTGAGAAGTGGACTCCGAAATTAGCAAGGTGACATGACACGTCAAGCTGGAAGGCACTGCTCTTCCCAAACCTCCGAAGGCAATTGTTATCGTAACGGTACCTCGATTACACATCTCCTTAACCAAACCCGTCGAGCCCAGCCCCGCCCGGGTAAAGTTCAGAACCCTTGCTAATGTCCATAACGTATGTTACGAACCTAACGGCAACCTGTAAAGCCTCGGTCTGCGCACCCAAACGTTCGTCCAACCCCCGTACGCACCCTAAGTCGTGAGATGCCAAAGTCAGCGATCTTGGCCCTGCCCTTGTTGTCTAGCAGTACGTTGCCCGGCTTGAGGTCTGTGAGGATGTGAGGGAGGCGAAAAGAGAAGCGGATCAAAAGGAAAATGCATAAGGAAGGAGTCATTGCAAGGAGTGTAATGTAAGTGGCACGCCTTATCAGGATGAAGCCGAAAACACCGACTATAGCAGTAGGAATACGCCGGGCGATGTGCATTGTTTCCCGCAGCGTATCCGTCATCGACCCGTCTTGAACTCCCCTGCACATGCCCCACATGCCTCTCCTGATCCTCTTACCCCTGTGCAGCACTCCGAAGCGGTGAAGGTGCGCCAGGCCCTCCGCCACGTCACGGGACAGCTGCGGAGAACAGCGAAAAGAGGAGCATGACAGGCTGTCTTGGGCATAGGCAGCTGCCCTCAGATGACATCCATAAAGGACTTCTGCCCCAACATCCTGACACAGCAGAAGCTCCTCCATGCCCTTACCCGCTCCACCCCATTTCATCGCCCACCTGCAGCACCTCCAAGTAGTCCAGCCTCCTCATGTGCGGATTGTGAATGCGACCGCCCAGGTTGCCCCCCTCGCAGAGCTCCATAACTAAAGCCGCATGCTGCTGACCAGCACTGCCCCTATGCCCCGGCAGCTGCTTCGCCGGCCGCGGGCCTCCCGCAGCAGCAGCAGCAGCAGCCTGACGCTGCGGCGGTGCACCATGAGGTCGGGTGGAGTGGTTGGCGGGGTGGCCGCCACCGGCGCCGATGACCGCTCCCGCCAGGTCAACAGCGACGCCTGAGGCGGCGGCGAAGGTGTCGTTGTCGCTGCTGGTTCTTGGACCTGCGGCAGTGGCCATGGTGGCTGGGAGCGTGCCGCCGGGGGCGTGTTGGTCCAACGGCGTCGGAGGCGAGGGAGAGGGTGAAAGGGAAGCTGCGGCGCCCGGGGGCTGTGCAGGGGTGGCGGGGGCGGCGGCGGCTGAATCTAAACCCGCTTCGCCCCTGCTGTCGCGCCTTAATTGCGACGTCCTGCCAGCCCCGCCGATGCTCGAGGAGCCCTCTTGCGGCGTCTGGCTGCCGGCCGGACCCAGTCCGAGGGAGGCAGCCAGCAGCTCAACCACCCGCTCACAGTTCCTGCACGCGTGTAGGCATGGAAAGGCAAGGCACAATCAGAGGTCCTTCAACCACCCGCGTAACAAACCAGCGTGTTAGCCATCCACCGTCCAAACCGTGGCATTCCACTCATCTGAGCGCACGTCACCAGGAAAGAGAAACATGTCCCTGCTGAAGCGCATTACCTGAACCGAGCAGTCAGTTGGGCCTCTTTGGCTAGCGCCTGCCGTTGCTTCTCGTCCTCAATCACAACGGTCTTAACCGCCACCTTGCGACCTCGAAACGTGGCCTCGTACACCTGAAGTAACAGGGAGAACATAGCAACAGTCAACAATACCCATGCCATAGTTGAGAGCCCAGTAATAAAGAACAAGCTGCGACGCGGATACCTGCCAAACGGCAATAAACCCTGATCGCCGCACCCTCGCAGTAGGTCCGTATCCGCCCGCCCATGCAGTGTCCACAACCCATCTCGGACCCTCCGCCCTGCAACCCCCTCCAGCTCACCCTGCCGAAGCCGCCCACTCCAATCAGCCTCCCGAGGAAGGGCTCCACCTCCGTCTCGTAATCCACATCCAGCTCGATGGGCGCCAGCGTCAGCGACACAGGCAGGTTCATGCCCGTCAACGTGGCGGGACCTGACGCAGCCGCAGCAGCCGGCACCGCTGCGCCCGCGCCGGCAGCGGCGACAGCGTCCGCCGCCGCTGCGCCTCGTGCCAGCAACGCCCGTGGGCTGAAGCTGGGAGGGGACCTGGCGATTGAGGCCGCCCGCATTTGCTGCCGGTAGTAATGCATGTACTGCGGCGGCACTGGAGGCTGGGGTCCAGCCTGCATTTCGCGGCTGTCGCGGCGCATTTCTGCCTGCAAATCCTGCCCAGCACCGCCGCCGCTGCCGTCAGCGCCTGCAGCCGCCGCCGTCAACGGTGTTCCTAACGTACGGCGACGGGGCAGGAGGCGGGAGAACAGCGGCACCGCTGCCGTACCGCCGCCTTGTACCGCCTCCGGCGGCTGGGGAGGTGCAAGGTAGCTTTCTCCCGGTTGGGGCGATGGGGCCTGCGCCTGCTGCTGGTCCAGCAGAACGGCAGGCTCGGGCTGTAGTGGCGGCAGTAGCAGTTGCGCTGGGTATTCAGGCAGCAGCTCCCAGGTCTCTGCGACGCGGCCGGTCCATGTCTTGGCTTTGCGACTGAAGGGCGATAGGCGATTAAGGAACAAGGAAAGGATGAGCCAGTGACAATGAAACCATGCGATGGGTGAGTGGGAGCAGGTGCGAGGGGCCATGCCACGCCCCATGCAAGGGCCGGCCGTCCTAGACTTGCAGCAAACAACAAGCACCCAAACACCAACAACCTGCAACCGCAATAGACAACTCACACGAGGATCCGCAGCCTCACGTCGTCGTCGTCCAGTCCCGACACTGCCGCTAGCGTCGCCACACGTACTCCGTCAAGCAGACCCTCCCCTGGCCCCGCTTCTCCCTCTCCAAATCCTCCTCTTCCATCCCGACTCCTCCTCGTCCCCTCCTCCGCTCCTTCTTCCCGGCCTCGCTCTGCACCCTCTTCCTCTCCCACTGCCGCAGCTGTCCCCGCCGCCACGGTTCCCTTGCTCGCCATCCGCGCCCGCAGTTCCTGACTGGTGGGTCGTGACAGCGCGGTGACTGCCGCCATGAAGGCCTCAGCCGGCATGGTGGGGCACTTGGGCAGCAGCCCCAGACCCAGCGGGCCACCCTTGGCAGGGAAGTTCTCCTGCCACCAGCCCGAGTTGAGAACGTAGTGCAGCTCGCTGGCTGTGGGAGGCGGAACAGGGAAGAGTGGGAAACAAAGTTGTGGGAGGTAGGACACGACAGGAGTTTATTAAGGTAAGGGTTTGAGTTAATTAAGCGGGAGGCATGGGGTGAGGGCCAAAGAAGCTTCGGGAGCTGGGAGTTTAGAACTGCAGGCGGTGCTGTTGGAGAAGACAAGGGGTAATACACCTTCATGCCATGCTGATGCGCGGCCATAGCAGCATGCGTGTGCAATACACCGTAACGCCAACGCAACCCGTCCGCCACGTTGGCGTTACGTCGCAGGCTGCGTAGCTCCTGAAAACATCAAACGTAGCACTCCACACAGCCCACCACACTGTACGCGTGCGCGTACCTTCCGACGCGGTGACATGTATCGCCAGGGCTGAGCTCAGCGGCGGGTAGGGGTACTGCTGGTGCATCCCCGTATACTCGTACGGCACCAACCCTTGACCGTCGTCGTAGCCTCCGTCGTACCCTCCGCCGCCGCCACCGTTGCTGCTCCGGCTTGCCGTGCTGCCGGTATCGGATCTTCGTACTCCCGGCATCAACAACCCCATGTATCGCGACAAGCGGCGGTCCACGCCCGGGAACCGCTCCTCTATCAAACGCCGGTGACTCCCCGCGTGGTGGTGGTGGCGGTGTCGGTGGGGGCCTGGCGCTGGCGGCGGTGGTGGTGGCGGCGGGTGGTGACGCCGCCAGAGGAAGAACGCGGCCACGGCGAGGAGCATAGCACCCGCGGCGCCGCCGACGCCGCCGCCGATTGCCGCCGTCTTGTCTTTGCTTTTTGAGGGGACGATGGTGATGTCGGTCTCTGGCAGCAACGGCTGTGGCGGCTGCGGCGGCGGATTCACCACGGACTTCCAGTTTGCCGGTACGAACGTGGTAATCGGGCCATCACTTGAACAGCAGTAAACCATGTTTACTTGGCAGCTCTGAAAAACAAGGATTGAAAGGGAGGGAGGAGGTCGGCCACAGGCAAGGGGAATGGTGCATGATGCCCTAGACCTGTAGGCCTGACCAGAAGCGCATCGTCGTATGTTCTCTTCATTGCTTTCCGTTTCTCATACCCATACGTAGCTCCCCGCACTTGTTAAGCGCCCATACTGCCCCTGTGTTGCTGCGCTTACAGCCCCCCCCCCTCACCAGTGCAAGCTGCGCAGTCCCATCCGCCGTCGTGCACCGGCTGCTTACGGGAAGTGCGGCGTTTATGCTGGCGGCAGGGGCCCCTTGAGGTGACGGGCTGCTTGTGCTTGTGCGGGCAGCGACGGGAGGACTGCCCCAGGCGATTACGCCGTATGCGAAGGCAGGTATCCTGCGAAAGGAGGAAAGGCGACGAGTAGGGATATGCGCTGAGTACCCTCTTTGCATGCGCATACCTCTCTTACCGGGGGTTGGCCAGTGATTGCCGCATCACCACAAGCGAGCCTGTGCCCGCTGCCGTAGCCGCCGTTCCGCCCGCCCGTGTGGTTGCATTCGCGGCGGCAAGCTGCGCTGGTTGGGGGCCTACTTGCACTGGTTTGGTGGCAATGACAGGAGTGTTCACGAAGCTGCGGCGGCAAAGACGGGGGGATAGAAAGCCGCAATCATTGCTGCATGCAGGGTGTGGAATAGGTATGACAACCCAAACCTTCAAATAGGCAGTTAGCCGACTTCAGGTAAGGGACAGGGCCACATTGGGGTAAGAGGTTGTGTCAGTACGCAGTAGGAAGGCCAGGCTCTCGAACGGGTAAGGGCATCGTCATCTCCCAGCCGTGCTCCTGTGTCCCAGTACCCTACCTGTAGTCCATAATTGCGTCCAGGATAGAAGGGCGCTTCGTTCGTATGGTGACGATTACATCGACGGATTCCATCAAGGGCGTGCCGGGTGCGATTGCATGCTCTGCCTGCTGCGGCTGCAGCTGCTGGAGCTCTTGAGGAGGCGTGTCCATTCCTGGTTCATATGGGTTGTCCGAGGCGTCCACAGATGGCCCAGTACCAACACCCGCACCCGTGTCATTAAGGCCAGGTGCCTTCACAGCACCAGTTGTGGTGTTCAGGTGCGGTACCAACGCCCCCGCTCCAGGTACAAAGGAGAGCGCAAGCATGTATCGGGCGCCCTTGACGCCGGGGAGGCCGCTTGCAAAGTCCCACTGAAGGGAGGAGCAGCCCCCAACTGGAGGGGGAGAGTAGAGGAAGGAAAGGGTGAGGAGGAGGCGGGCAAGCAGAAGTTAGCAGTGCCCACAAGCGGGAAGAAACAGGTTAGGACATGGTACAGACACATATTTGTCGAGGATAGGTTTTCCGCCTGCCTAACCACTTCACCAACTCGCAATGCAATCCCGGGTCCCCTACGGCGAGTAAGAAACTCACGCAGCTGGCGGGAAACGTCCATGCATGTCAGGTCGAAGTCCGAAGGAAGCGCCGCGCCGGCCTGCCATCCAGTCGAGTCATCGTCGACGGGCCCCTCTAGGTAGTAGTTCAACTGCGAGAATATCCAAGTTTCCACACAGGAAACCCGGAAAGGGCAGCACACGGCGGTGTCACCATAGAAGACAGCCGTACCAGCGTGGCTGCGTTATCATGCAAGGACTGACGTGGCTGTGTTACCATGCAAGGACTGAACAGCGTAGAATGGAGCAAGAGACTGTATTATTGACGAATTAACAACCGGACCGAGCTTCTCGGTTGCGGGAGGACTCAACCCTGTTGACAGCTGAGGATGCCCAGGTAACGCGTACCTTCACCCAACTGAGGTCGATGGGTTTGCGAAGAGCCACATTAGAAACCCTGGGGGTTCAATGGACACGGACATATTCAGCATTGAGAGAAATGGGTGACGGCCAGTCTGAGTGGCCAGTCAAGCACGCAGCTTGAACCACGAGTGTCGCTTACGAGTGCCTCATAGTGACGCCAATATGGTTGTTCGTGTGCCACCCGCTGGATTACTCCGAACGTACGGCAATCTACGGATCTCGAAGAAACTTGCCTGACAAGGAACTGGGTGTAGCTATTTCTGAAGGAGTTGACACCTGGGGTGTCCCCGGTCGCGGGTGTTGGCAGGGCAGAGGCATTCCTGCTGCTGGGCCCTTTTTGTGCGGTCGACCCCGCATGAGAAGAATCGTTTGCAGGGCCGCCGCTGGCGACGTTGCCGACAGCGTTGCTTGCAGCCGGAGATGCAGGGATGTAAGTGATGGGCAAGTACTCGACCTGTAGTGCGGTACGCACGAGTTTCACGCCAAAGGGAGGGTGCAAAGCAGGGAAACAGTAGAGGCTTCCAAGTTGCTCAGCAACCGGGAAGGGTGGTGGATGAACACCGGGGCGGGACGGACGGCCATTGATAACATGCCCCGGCGCCTTAAAAGGAATCTCATTGTGAAATCTCAGCGCTCCCTCCCAAACCCCACACGCCACACCAACCCCTCGTCCGCCCATGCTCACCCTTAGGCTCTTCGGAATTTGCTCCATAGAAAGCATCTGCTGCGCCACAAGTCCCACCCCTGCCGCACCACTATCGCCGTCGACAGCGCTACCATCGGCCTCCGGCGCGGCGGCTGCCGAGGGGTACGGGGCTGCAGCATTCCCGGCGTTAGCGGCACCTCCACCCAAGAGCGCTGCGATGGCTGCGCGAGCCTCCCGAGGGTCCCTCTGGTAGTAATGAAAGGCAGATACGGATGGAGAGGGATGTGAAAAGAGCATAGCAGCAGTCAGTGGTACAAGCCTGGACCCGGTTGGAGGGTAGGGCGCAAGGGCTTCACAGTCCGGGGGTCCGTGGCAATGGACCCGCCCAGCAAAGGTGAACTGGAACACGCAAAAGAATCATGTACGCCGGCGCTTACCGGCGAGATGCGGTAGAGGTCTTCCAGTGATTCGCATTTCATGTTGTTGAAAAAGACGTTTTCGGGCGCCGTCGCCCGAAGCGGCGCCGATGCAGGGCCGGTAAAGGAGCTTACAATGGGGTCGGAGGAGCGAGGAGAAGAAGGCGAGGCCGGGGGACCCTTGCGAACTATCAAATTGAACCGGATGGCGGAGCCGTACACCAATGAGCCATTGCCTACGCAGTGCATCGAACGGGTTGCACATGGGTAAGGTCGGTGTAGAGGGAAAAGGGAAACATGAAAGGCTCTGTGTAGTGCAGAGCTGAGGGAAAGGTTGGTGGCCTGCGTTCGTTGGTGCCGCGTTCACACTAGTCGGCTTCGGAGAAGCTCAGCATAACATTATTCAAACTTATACGCGCATAAACACAGTTGCGTCCAAATACCACGTGCGCGGTTTCTTGGAATTCAACTATACATGTGGCAGCCTCATAACCAAAATGCAAGCAGTAACGTCTACTGCCGAACAGCACCCACCCATGACGGCAACGTCTTGCAGTGGACTTGATAAGGCTGAAGTGTTGCCGTCCTTGTGATCCTGTGCGTAAGGGAAGGGAAATACGTTGGATAACGCACACAAGCCATACGGCAACAATCAAGGCATGGCATCTCTGGTTTAGCAGTCCCAACTTCGGTCTGTCGCTGCAGCATTTGTCGCGGCCCATTCGCTACGCATCCCTTTGTGCACACCTGCAGCATCACGGACTCCAGGACAGCTGGAGCTTCAGATGCTGGCGTGGTCGCTGCCCCTGCGGCAAGCGGTGTCGGCGCACTCGTCACGGCCGGAGTGCCCGTTTCAAACACGTCTTTACTGTAGCTGATCCGCTCTCCGGCGTTGAATGTCCACCCGAGGACCCACGAGGTGATAACCGGCACCTGCGGTTACCATGTACCCCAATGGGCATGCCAGGGATTACGAACAAAGGACAATAGGCGTTGGAAGCACGGGTGGTGGGGTATACAGTACAAGGGCAATACGCAACTAGGTACGGTAGAAATTGCTGCAGCCCGTGTCTTCCCCAGATGCACCTGTGGTGACGTCGACATAGCCGCCCAGTACGCCGTGAAGATTGGCAAATCACTCGCGGCTGTTGGATCGCCTATACCGGCCGCGTAGCGCAGCAAAACAGAACAGGTTTTGATCTTCGGCGCCGTGTCCGTAGGTGGCGTACCGGCGCTTGGCGCCGAGGGGTCCGCTGCCTGCGGCGGCGGCGCCGCCGCCTCAGCAGCTGCTGGGTCCTGCATAAGCCGCCGCCGCCGCCGGAACGGAAAGGGGCCGTTGCCGTCGCCAATGCCGTCGCTAGTGCCGACAGCACCGCGGTCGCGGACGGCATTATCGGCTATACTGCCGCTGTCTCCAAACAACGAGCTATGGCCGCCACCCAGAGGCGGATCCGCAAAGCCGCTGTAAGGGTCGCCGTCGGTAGCGGCGGCGGCGGTTGCAGACGTCGCATTTGGAGGAAGTGCCCACGAAGGTAGCTCCAGGAATGCCAAGGAGATTGCTGGTACTGGTTGTGCCCCGACCGGTATTGTTGCCGCTTGGGAAGGCTCCGCAGCCGCGGCTGTCCCTTGCTTGGGTGTCCCCAGCGGAGGCGCCGGCGGAGGAGGTGCACGCAGTGCCTTAGCCGGCTTCTGCATGGGGAGCGCAAAAGCATGCAGCGGCGGCGGGGAGCCCAAAGCGCCGGTGTCCAGGCGCGCCCGCGGAAGCGGCGGCGGCACAGGTCGCTTACACCCGCCGTCGTACGACGTGCAAGGCCGAGGCGGAGGAGGCCACCCCGCAGCGGCGGCGGCCGCGGTGGCGCCAACAGCGCCACCGCTGCCAGCCGGCATGTCCACCGTCGTCGACTGTGCTACGGCGACGCCAAGATGCTTATACGGCGACTCGCCAATGCCGTCGGCGGTGATGTCAGCGGCAGCTACACCTCCGGGCGTTGCCACCGCCACCGCCAGCGTCAGCAGCAAAAGCAAAGGACTACTCACTTTGCCGTGTAGCTGCAGCGAAGACTGCGCCAATCGACCGCAACCCGGTTTCAGGCGTGAGAGCCGCCGAGATGGAGGTGTCCCCCCGCCGTGTCCTATCTGCGCTGACCTCATCCGTTGAGCAGAGGTAAAAAAGAGGGCCAAGGGAACTCGAAGCTCTACCAGGGCGCCTGGATCCAACGCTGCCGTTCCGCCGCGAGCACCGCGCCCCGAACGTAGGAGTGCATACGGACTAAAGCAGCGCCCTTTATCTGCGCTTCAGGACCCCTCCGGGCGCGGTTGCGCAGCAAGGGGGCAAGCTGTCGTAAACCAGTTATCAACCAGCTTAGTTATCAACTTGGTCGTAGAAGCCTTGATCAAGCTGCCACTTCTGCTTGTAACCGCATCGCTTCAAAATCGTGATAAGTAGACAGCTGCAGAAGACCTAGCTTGGCTAGGTTGCAAAGGTACACCATCCGCCTGGGAGTTGGGAATCTAGTTCATGCTTGCACAGAGTAAGCTTTGATGGTGCTAGCTGCTAGCTGCTCCCTGCTCCACGGTTGCGTTACGCGAACGAGGACGCTGCTCGACGCAACGAGGCCTCCGCGTTTTCGGCTAAGCACCTGGGAGGAAACACGGGGATGCGGGCACGCAACACCAAAAACAGAAACGGGCAAAAGGCAGAAAATCTTGGCTGGGAAGCGGAGCTTTTCCGGGTTCCGCTGGGCGAAAAGTCGCCGATCGCAAAACGGACTCTGCGGCCGCACTGCGGTGACTGACATGCAAGCTGGGCGCAATCTTCCCGACATACCCGCCGGAATCAAGACTGATTCTGCTAGTTTTTGGAAGCCTAGACATGGGCAAGCCTTAGACGCCCCACAGCCCAAGGTCAACAGGTCACAGCTCTCAGTCCCTCTGCGATGATCTGGTCTGAGGTAAAGCTTACCCGCCCGCAACCGTTGTATGGCTTAAAGCTTCTCACGTAGATATAGCTGCCACCGGGCAAAGGAGGCTTCTGGTAGACCTCAACGAGGGCCCAACTTTAGTCGCGTCTTAACAGGGTCAGCTTCACCCTTGCTATGGCAGCCAAGAGTAGATGATGACTTCTAAACGCTTTTGCGACTAAACCTGTAAGCTTGCGGAAGGGAGCGAGATATGCTGGGTACGGGTCTGTTGACAGTCGAAAGTAATTTTGACAGTCGAGTGCGTTTGGGTCCGCCGGTAAAGGATATTGACGTGTAGCGTTTAGTTAAACTACAGAAGCAAACATGCAATGGACATCATCTGGGGCCAATGGGCCGTCCCCGTCGCATGGGTTGCGAAGTCTAGCGGCGATGATGACAGGGCTCCAATGGCCCAACCGTAGCAATCTAGCATTCCACCGCCTTGGTTTACTTATTCTGGCTTATGCAGGGTTACTTTTAAGCGGTTTCTAAAGCTTGGTCGCAGCGGAGCTGCACACGGGATCGATAACATGCCGAGCAGTTAACAGCGGCGCGGATTGGCGGACGCGCCTGACAGCTTTGGTTGCCAACGGAACCATAAGATACGTTTTGCTATTATGCACCCATGCACCTTATCATACGTATCGCGTGCAAAGTGTAGTCCCTAGGACAGGAACACCGTAAAAGTTAATCCAACGATAGGTTCTCTATCTAATTGCGAAGCAACGCAAGCTGGATTAAGTTATTAGCAACTGGCAAAGCAAAGCAACTTAACGCCATGATACAAGCTGCTGCTTCACTCCTGGTGGAGTCTACATAGGCGCACACTCGCGGCCAGTTTTCTTAACACTAGGGGCAACCCCGTCCTTGGCGTCTGGGCCCTACTGGTATTCACGCAATTCGCGCTCGCACATTCGCTCTTTATCTTTACTTTATTACGGGATTGCCCGGGTAATTTCGCAAAAGAACTGCGCAAAGAACAGGGCTGGAAACGCGCAATCCCGCCATATGTATACCCGTGTGACCCATGGGTCACATCAGGCAAGTGAGCACAGGACAGAGGTACAGGCCACTTGCGTAACAGCGCATAAATAGCAGGCAGGCCGAATGAAATAATGACGACGTCCAGAGCCCCAATGTAAGTAGGTGGGTCAGTTGACCCCCTGATACTGCCACCGGAACACCCATTCCCAACCTAGATCAAGAACAATGGCACTGCTTTTGCGTGCGTACTCCATTCGGCGACTTTGCCGACTTTGCCACGGGTATGCGCTGTCGTTAGCTAAATAGGCCAGCCTTCGCAAGCCCCGTTACCCTGGCAATCCTTACCTGTGCTCATGCGGCCATCCAGTTTCGACCATCTTGTGTCTCCCACATGCGGTACCCCTGGCATGCTGTAAGTTCCGAACTCTTCAGTGGGTCGCACCCCTTCACGCGCCGACTCGGATGATGGCTAGTCTCCTCACGGCACCACGTGCATGAGACGGTGTCAGAGCCAGCGTAGGCGGCATGAGTTGCATACAGCAACAGTGGGCGACTGGCTGGTAATGTAGATGTGGACTCGCCACTGACGTCGTTGACGTTACGGCTGCTGCGGCTGCTGGCATAGTTGTCTTGGCTAGGCGCTGAAACGCGCCGCAGCCATTGCAATTGCCATAGAGTAGCCGCGATGATAGCGATCGCCTTGTAGCCGTTGTTTGTCTGGTTGGTCGTGGCGATGCTCGTCCTGCTGCTGCGCTTTCCTGTACAAAACCGACTGTACGGTGATTTTCGAGGTGGTCAACAGCAGCTCCAGACGAAGGCTGTCCTTGGTTGTGTAAAGACGGCTGCGGTACGGACAACCCCTTGGCGTCCCTTTGTCCTTCGTCGTTATTACTTGAACGTAGCTTGAGTACTCCATGACCACGACAGTACTCAGTGCCGGTAACAGGCGCTGAAGATAACCACCCGAACTCTACCGCTGCTGCCACCGTCGCGTGCCGTAGCCCTGCCGCCGCCTGCTCACCATCTGGGCCCCGGGTGATTCCACCCCCCCAGCAGCGGGCTGAGGTCCCAGCCCAGGATGTCGCTGCCCCAGGGCTCGACTCGGGCCCCTGCCTCCGCCCCCGCGGTGCCGGGAGGCGGCGGCTGCATGAGGCACTCGTCCTCGTCCATCCAGGCGGGCATGCTCACCTGGGGAGGGGTCAGGAGGGCCGTCAGGGAGCGGGGGTCAGGCATGAGTAGGGGCGAGGGAGGCGAAAGAGATAGAAGAGCGCAGGGATTCGCAATTTCACGCAGTGGCCGAAAGCACCGTTGCCTTCGCTTCGCGGAGGAGGCGCGGGGATCAGAGAAAGGGTTCAGTGTTTCACCTGACTCACCCTCTGAAGCCCCTTCACCTTAGCACTTACCTCTACTGACCAGCACCAAACACGCTTGCGCCCGTCTCCAGCGCCATCACCGAGCTGCTCATCAGCATCACTGCCATCACCATCTTGCCTCAACGCAGCTCCGTTTTCCCCAGCCCACCACGCCCAGCTGCCAGCCCATCCCCGGCTCCAGAGCTCCGCTCCGGGCACCTGGCCGCTAGCGGTGAGCAGTGCAGTACGGCAGCTGTAGCTCTTCCATGTGGCCAGACGGGAGGTGAGGGCGGCGTGCGCCTGCGCCTCGTGTTGGAGAGCCCGGGTGAGGAATTCGAGCTGCACAGAGCAAGGGATGGAAAAGGAACAAGCAAAGGGTAAAGGGCCCCTTCAAAATGCGTAGGCATGCCCACGTCACCTAGCCGAGCTGCATGCAGAGCGCGGTAGTAGGACCAGGGTGGGCCCCTCTTCGTCATATTATTATAACCCAGTTCACGGTTCTAGCCTCGCCATGAGCAACTCCGTGTCCAACTCATCTTCTTAACAGCCACGCCTAGGCATTGGGAGTCCATCACCCCCGCTCTGAAACCGCGCCGCCTGCCTCAAGCACCTGCCCAGTTCCTGCCAACACCATCACCGATGCCCGCCGCTTACCTTCTCCCCGGCCTGCTTCGCCAAGCGCTGGTCGTGTCGCAGTGAGAGCTCCAGGTGGGCCACCTCCCGGTCTAGCGTCTGGTGGGGCAGAGTGCGGATGTATAAGGTAAAATGAAAGCGACCCTGATTTGGGTCGCAGCCAACCCAAATGCTGGGAACAAAGCTTACTCTTCAGCTCATAGCAGAGCGGCACATATCCCGCCCCTTTTCTCCCTCCACTTCTGTCACTGTTGTCTTGCCCTTCAATCCGTCCACATCTCCCTCCCGCCCCTTACCTGAAGCTCCCGTCGCCATCCCTCCAGCCGCCATTGTATCATCAGGCCCCGCCACGGCGCCAATGCCGCCTCCACCACCCGCCACCTCGCACCACCTCCCGGCTGCTGCCTCTCTGCTCCTCCCGCTCCAGGTGCCAGCCAAGCCATGAGCTGTGCCTCCACCTCCCGCCGCCGCTGGGCCGCGCGCTGCTGGCAGGCCTGCGTGGCGGCGGCGGTGGCTGCCAGACGCCGCTGCACGGCAGCCGAGTGGGCTGAGTAGTGGGAAATGGAGGTCTGGTGGGCAAGAGAGAATTGGGAAGGAGGAGCAAGTTGAGTTAGTAGGATGGTAGCAGGCAGGACGGCAACAGGATGAACACACTTCTGGGACAACTGCCTGCACACCAAGACAAAGCATACCTCTCGACCCAAAACAGGTGCTTAGCCTCGCCGCCACGTCCCACACCATTGCGTCCTCCCTAAACAGCATCCCCGAGCAGCACCCCATCCCTCCCTCCCTGCTCCCCTCGTAGTTGGTTTCCTCTTCACTCCCCCACCTGCAGGTCTCGCACCGCCTCCTCCGCTAAGGCGCACCGCTGCTGGTAGTAGCGAATCAGGCTTGTGCGGCTGCGGGGATGGAAGAGGTGGCGGGGTAGGGCCGTGACGTTGGGTTGCCGTGTAGATAAAGTAGGTCTAACGCAACCGGTGGATGGACCCTAAACGACCCAATTGGAGGGATGCCGATGTCAGCGCCTACACCCTATGGTCCGTGCCAGTTTCCTAGCCTGGTTAAAGTAAACCCTGCGGCAACATGGTAATGTTACAAGACACATTGGAACATGTCCCACCGTGTTCTTTCATCGAATCGCTCCATCATGTAGGCCGAGGCTGCCACATGTGCTATGGCGGTGAGGAAGGCACCAGCCACCAGGGCGCCCTCCCATGCCAGCAGGAATGAAACCACGCGTGGGAGCTCTTGGGGGAGGAAAAGGAGGAAGCAGAAGAGAAGCGGGAGACAAGGTTAACTGACATGGAGGAGAGCAAGATTGCGGACTGAAGGGAAAGGGGAACGCGGTTGTCGGTGTTATATAAAGAGCAAAGAGGTAGGAGACGACACGAGGGAAGGGTGCAGGGTGCCGTGTGGCATCTGGCGGAAAGATGATGGTTACGAGCTGTTGGCTGGTCGGGGTCTGGGATATTAGTTTTATACACAAGCGGCGCAAGTCGCTAGAACGAAGGAAAGGAACAACTACGGAACCGGGCAGGGTAGATGCAGCTGATGCCATGGACAGCCAGAAACGTGCATCTGTCACACGAAATGGGGTTGGAATGGACCACATGTCAGATAGGGTGGCTTCTCAAGCATAAGGGAGACTTAGCCATAGTCCCCTACTCGCGAGGGCCCTCAGCTGTTGACCAGCATGCACGATCGATTGCCGCCGCACTCTACCTGTAGCACGCTTCCGCTGCCTCCTGTATTTGGCTGCAACCTCCCTTGCTCTTTGCTTTACATGATACCACACTAGCGAGCCCGGGTAGCGTGGGCCCTCATCCATTGCGGTCCGCTCTTATTCGAATTTACAGCAGCCAGGACAGAAGACAAGCTCTAGAGCGTTCAGTATGTTTCCAATATGGTGCGCATAGTGCATTTAACCTTTTGGAGGATATAAAACTTGCAAGCTTCTGTGTTTCGGAGCCTGAAAATCTCGCTTCTTCCTTGGAAAGCCTTGCATGGCCAGACGATATGCCTGTACTTCCCAGACACTGTATTGTGTAACTGTTGACAAAGATCCACTGGACTTTCCCGCATCCAGGGGTCTTCCATAACAGGCAGCGACGGACCATCATTTAGCCCGCGATACCGATAACCCAAAATGCAAGCTGCAAGACGCTGCTGTTCTGTGGGTAACACGCCAATAGCTGTACGCGCGCCAGGAGTTCGGGTCCCTCGCTTGCAGCTGCGGGTACGCGCGGAACAACAGGCCTCGGGTAACCTGCAGAGCGCCGATCAGGTAAGGGCACTATAGGTGCAGTAAAGGTCGCCAGGACGCGCATTGCGTTCAGGGTAGCTTTTAAGTCGTGCTTGACGACACGGTACACCATATTCATCATCACCTGCCCTGCACCGCGGCAGCCGCGGCCTGCATTTGCGATAGCGGCAAGGGTACTGCGTGGGCTGTAACGGCGCATGAAGCGGAGTGTTGCAGTAATTGTCACCTCGGTTGCCCATCGGGTACTGCCAAGCCGTGCGATGGTTGGATAATCCCTAGTAGCAGGCAGCGGCGTTTGCCGGCTGCATCGGCTGCATCGCTGCATACTGTACCATCGACAACGTTCCAGTGGCAGCCCCTTGCAGCTTGGTTCAAATGCCTTTTACATAACGCTACGCAGCGCTGGCTCCTGCACCGTGCCAAAGCATCCATAGCACCCACGGCGATGCCCCTTCCTTCCCACGTTCTCCATAGACGTCGGCCATTCCAGGCCAGCAAAGCAGAGCAAAGCGCGCTGCACTCCACGTTCGCTTGCAGCCGCGCCCACAGCCCCGTAGGGACTGTAACGCCTGTCCACGGCATCCATGTTGTCCCTGCATGGGTGCCTGGTGCCGAATCCCGGTATGCATTGGGCAACCTTCTCCCGCCAACGAAACCTTGGCCTGTGCATCCGTTTGCATGAAACATGCAAGCACCCCTGTCCACAGGCCGTAAAGCACGCGCCAGCGCATGGGTCCGTCCGACCCATGGGTCCTTCCAGGGCATCACCTGCTCCACATTGGGCTTCAAAACCTCCACAAGGAACACAAAGCACGTGTCCAGTTTTGCATAGGAGAGTTCATGACGCTGCCCACCAGTTCATATGTACTGCATTAGGCCACATCCACTTCGTAAGGCCCTGCATGGCCTACCACCCTACCACCTTGCTCGCGCATCTGCAATTTCCGCTTCCCGCAGGTTCCCATTGGCTGCTCACGCTACTCGGTATCACTGCGGAAGCCGCTCGGAATCGTGTTGGAGCAGGACGTCAAGAGCGGCAACATCTTCGTGGTAGGGTGGGGTGGCATGGGGCGTTATGAGGGCTGGTCAGGAAAGCATCCCTACAGTCTCGTGTCACTCCGCATCCCCGCCATATCCACCACTTCCTAAGCCACCTCCTCCCCGGCGCGTGTTTTTCCTGTAACCATTGCTTAGACACGACTTGCTTGTTGCCAACCGATGTACCGTGCCTGCTCGACTCCACGGACGCCAGGTGGAGGTGAAGACGGAGGGCAGTGCGGTGCGGGACGGCAGGGTGCGAGTGGTGAGTGCCACGGTTCCCCCTGCGAGGGATGGGGACGTGTCGGGGTGATGAGTGCCTTGGGCTCCACCTTGCGATGAAGGGTGGCGCGGGTTGGCATGCGGCCCGGATGGGGAAACCAGGGATCCCTGCTTTGGGACTGTTTTGAGTGGGACAGGTGGGACAGGGCGCAGGGAAGGGCAGGGTAATGGGTTTTGATGTGCGCCTTCTTTTCCTTGCCGCCCTTCACAGCCTGCATGCTCCACCTTAGGGCGCATTGTAAACGCCCGCTACGGTACCTCTCTCTCAACACTTCCATCCCTTCGTCATTTGTCCATTCCCCCGGCCTTTCACCTTACGAAACCACCTATTGTACTGCTAACCTGTCGCAAACTACTCCAGTGGCTGCCTCCTCCCCCACCAACACCACCCAGCCGCCAACCCTGCCGCCTCCCTCCCTCCGCTGCCCCTCCCCTCCTCAGGGTGACCAGCTCATCGCCACCAGCGGTGTCATCTACACCACGGAAAGCGACTACCAGGGAGCAATCGTCAAGGGGGGGCAGCAGGTGGTACGGCTGCGGGTGGCAGGGGAGGTGAGACGGGGGCGGCGGGCCGTGGCACCGGGCTGGGTCTACTACAGGGTGTAGACCTAGGGGGTGTAAGATGGGAAATTGAAAACGGGATCCATACCTTACGAGGGCAAGGATTTGGGACATGCATGCATGTACAGGTGGGTGCTCGAAGTCACGGAGCATCTGGCGGCAGAGAAAGCCTGGAGCCGGAGCAAGAGGAGCGATACCCCATGCCCTCCATGACGCGTCTTGCTGACGTAATATCCGGAATCTTCTATACGGATCCCTGTTTGAAGCAACCCACTTCGCCGCTTCGCTGCAGGCCTTCAAGACGGTATCCGCGGCAATAGGCTCACATCCGGGACAAATGCCGGTGACGCTGGAGTTCCAAAGATGTGACCCAGGGGTCGGTGTGCGGTCCATGGGAGGCGAGCAGGGGCAAGCCGGAAAATGAGAGGAGGATGGCTAGGCTAGGCTAGGTGGGAAGCAGCTTCTGTGCATTGCAGGGTACAGCAGGCATCTCAAAATTGGTGTTGGCGCGGCATGTGCATGCGGAACGACGGCAGTGGCATACAGCCCGCATACTGGTGATTTATGAGGGTGAGGGTCAGGGCGATGGTGATAAACGGAGATGCAAAAGGCGAGGGTGAGGGTGATGTGCAAAGAACGTATGTGAACTGGACACGGACGTGCGGACGTCCCCTGATCAGGGGTACAAGTTAGGTGGTGGTGGTTCGAGACAGTGCTAGTGTCCGTGTGGGCACATGCATGGACTGATAGAGCATTGGGAGCTGGCATTTGAAGAGCAAGGGTGAGATCATGATGTGTAGCGCTTGCTAACCGGCTTGAACCAAGTGCGGTTAAGTACAATGGGAGCCGACGGTAAGACACATGGCCAGCGTGGATGACACGTCACAGCTGGTTGCAGTGGGCAACAGGACATGTTACAGGAGCAAGGCACAACAAAACGCAAGCCTACACTAACCCTACGTAACCGCTTTGTCCGGACGAAACCACCGCCGGTCTCATAATCATTCTCGCATACCGTAAAGCTGCTGCTCGTCTGAAAGGCTCGAAGGTCTATCTTATACCACGCAACCGACAGCAACAACCACTTCCTAAACAGGAGCCACTTCCTGCGGACCCCATAACCTTGCTAGCTACCCCAGAACAAACACCGACGCTGACAGTAAGCTACTGTCTTCAGGAGGGGACCGGCGGTAGGGAAACGTCACTCCATGGCCCCACACAACCAAACCGCATACAGCCCCCAACATGCGACAGGTGAATCAGGAGGGCACATACAAGCGGGCATTGACCGGTTTGTCCCTAGCAGAGATTTACGCCTCTCAATCAAAACGAAACGCCAAGGCAGGCGAAGGAGCCCAGGCTGGGAGGAGACGCAGTGATGAAGTCCCTAACAGGTCGTCACTACCCTCTGATCTTAACCGACTCCGTTAAGATGGAGGTACGACTCACAGACCCACAACCACCACCATTACGTAAAAAGAAGAGCATTGTTCATAACCGCAGCCGGCAGAGGTACGGAGGATACAACAACTACAGCACTCACAGCTGTCTTGCTCTTTCCATCAATTGGTACATGTGCACATACAGACATACACCAAAAAGGTACAAAACGGCCATCTCTTTTGGTTCAAACACGTATAGCACAACCATACCGGTACGACATCCTGCAACATCCCAAAGCTTTGGGTCCCCAAGTGGCTTGCTTCATCTTTACTTCTCGCATCCCCATAGCGCACTTTATACAGTATGCAGAAACAGCTTACAAATTGCAACACTGCCAGATAACAACAAGGTACATGTGTCGTTTCTCCTCACAACCGTCTCGCAACCGACGCAATGAAGCTAAGTACCCCTTCTCAAGCCACAGCCTCCTAACCGCCTCCTCTACCCCCAACCCCCTCCCTTGCTCCTGCAGGTCCAATACAGTTCCGCCACCTCCTCTTCTCGTCCCATGCTATGCCCCCACACTACCGCCTCCACCTCCTACGGCGCCCCCGCCTCCCACGGCCCGTTCAACGTCGACTCCTCTTTACCTCCTCGCGCCTACTCACCCTCCCACATCTACTACTCATCGTCCTCCACCTCCACCGAGGCTCCCCGCGGGGGTCCCCTCTCGTGCGGGTGCTGCTTGTCCGCCTCCTCGCGATGCGGGAAGCAGATGCGGCAGCGACTCACGCCATGCTCGCAGGTCACACCGCTGGCGGCCTTCTCGGCTTGGCGCAGCAGCTGTTGGCGTGTTGAAGGTGGTTAGGATTGGCGTTGAATGTTGATGGCGTGGCGGTGGTGGCAGGGGTGGGATGCGCGAAGGTGGATGGCCAGGTGGAGTGGGGCAGAAGAAGGGGGACGAGTGAGATCGGTTGAGGTTGGGAAAGAGGATGGGGCGGGAAGGTGGCTGCGGAAAGGGGCTGTTAATGATTACGGACTCCTTCTTCAGTAAGGCCCTAAGGATATGTATTTCAATGTAAGAGAAGGGAACAAGTATTGTTCGCCGCTTCATCTACCGACAACATACCTCGCGCTGTTCCTTTATGGCGCGCTTGCTGTGTTTGCCCTCGGGATCCGTGCCAAGATTGAGCGCGCGTTCAGCCCTGTGCGCCCGGGCCTCCTCGTGTTGCTTCTGCAAGACGGGAAGTGCGAAAGTGGGATGGGCCTGCGGTCAGCATCCGCCTTGAAGACGGAAACGCTTGGCTGGCGCAACTGCATTGTAATGAACCTGAAAACTGACATCCCAGTATGTAATTCAGATTTGAGTTCGGCTGCTATCAAGGCAATAGAAACGCACTGCAACAGCAGCAATGCCGGACAGTTGAAAGCACAAGTTGCGCTCCGACAAGCCCAATTATCTTCCATTGCACGAAGGATACGAAATGCGGGTATATGAGGACATAGAGATATTGCTTGCACTTGCACGTAGGTGTCGGAGGTGTCCATTTACCTGCTCCTTCGCCTCCCTTTGCTGTTGCTGCTGCGCCTTCAGGGCCTCATGAACGGCAGCGTCGTGCTTCTTGGTCTCGGCAAGCTTGTCTGTACGTAAAATATGCGGAAGAGTGGCGGATCAACACACTGCTGCTGCGAGCAAAACCCAGTAACTTCACCAAAACCCTAGGCCTCCATCGAAATCTCTCGGCTTACCCTTGTGGTGAGCCTTTTGTGACTCGTGAGGTGTGTGTATCATCCCCATCATTCGCCCTCAGGAACAGGACTAATATAACGGTCGGAATTGGGCAAGGAAAGGCACTTAAGTGTATTGGACTGGTAAACGAAAGTGATCAGTGACGGAAGGGACAGCGATCAGCATTTATCTGCAGCCAGGTGCCCATCAACCGCTGTTTTCGGAGTTTTCCGACGTGGAATCGTCAAGCTGTACCGTCAAGAGGCCTTGGACGGTGATCTGAGGAATAATAGCTAGAAGCAAATATCTTATTTGGCTTAGGAGGTTTTCTGCTTTTGTTTCCTGCTTGTTTGGCAGAGCACCGCGGCCTTCAACCGCTGCCTATGAAGCCTCTAGCAGCACGGCGATCGGCTACTGACGCGCTTGCTTCAAGCTATAGTAGAAGATCCTCAGTTTGCCGAACGCGTGTAAGACCTGTGGCGTTTAGGGAACGCGATGATATCAAGGTAGGGTCTCGGAGGCGACCCTAGGGGCGATCTCGGTGGTCGTAAGGACTGCGGTGCAACCAACTAGGAAAGCTGGAAGCCTTGCTCTGTAAGGCCCAGCTTAGTATATGCGCAATGTACATGGCAACCATTCATGGTGCAGCCTCCAAACCGGATTCATCTCCCCTTCACCTAGCAGCTAGCGCCCACCCATATCGCATACCCGCCATATTCCCCCCGCTTGCTATGCAATTCCCACTCAGGACTGGCGTGTGAAGGAAATGGCTGACAGCTGCCGTACCTACTACTCTTCCCTTTGGAACCGAGGCCAGCTGACAGCTGCAGAGGAGCTTCTGGATCCAAATATCGTACTGCGGGACCCCTGCAATGTGGGGAACTGGGGACTGTCGAACGGCGGTAACAGCAGCGCCAACAGCAACAGCAGCACCAACAGCAGCAGCAATGGTGGTAACTATGTGGGTGGTGGGGTCGGCGGGGGCCTTATCCCCGCAACGGGGTTGATTGTGGGTCCCAAGGCGGTTCAGGCGCTGGTTTCCGAGGCACGAAGGCACTACCCGGACCTCCATATCGAGGTAAGCAGGGAGGGGAGAATCTCGGGCCGTTTGAGCCCTTATCGGCTCATAGTCCACCAGTCCGACCCCCAAAACACAGTCTCAACGCCTCACCGCCTGCTGCCGCCTCACCCTGCTGCCGCCTCCTGCTGCTGCCGCCCCATGCCGCCCGCTGCCGCCCGCTGCAGGTGGACGAGGTGGCGGTGAGCGACTCGCACCGCATCTTCGCCGCCTGGACCGCGCGAGGCACCCCCGCGGAGCTCGTGCTAGAGCAACACCGCCTCCCCTACCACCAACCCCCTGCCCCTACCTCCTGGCCCTCCGCCTCCTCCGCCTCCTCGCACCCGACCGGCCGCTCCTCCTCGCAACACCCACAGCTGCCCAGTGCTCAGCCGCACAACCAACTGCACAACCACAACCACCGCAGCAGCAGGAACCAGCCGGGTTTCCTGCATGCTAGGGCGCCGCAAGAGGCGGCCTGGGTTACTGGTACACCGGCTGCGCCTGCTATTGTTGCTGGAGGTTCGGCTCCCCACGTTGCGGGTTTGGTGTTGCATGGAGTGGATGTGATTACGTTCAACTACGACCGCAGCAGGATAGCTGAGGTGAGGGGAAGAGGGGGGTAGTGGAGGAAGAGGCTCCATTCCGAGTGCTTGACCCACGGTTCACACGCCAGTCCGTACCGCGCGCGCGCTACAGTTTATCCCTCCATCTGCAACCCCTCAGTCCCTTCACATGTACCTATGGATATTCTTTCCCCTCCCCTCGACTTCTCCTTCCCCTTTCGCCCCGCCAAACCAACACAATTATGTTCACCCCTCTCGCCTCTCCTCCTCTGCTCCCCTCCCGACCCAGATCACCACCTACCGGCAGCTGAGCGGCGAGGAGCGGCGAGAGGTGGAGTGGCGCCTCACGCCGCACCCGCTGGAGATACGGCTGGCGAGGCTGCAGTGGTAGCGCTGGTCAGGGAGAGGGGCGCGTGGGCAGGAGGGAGAGGGGTGCTTATGCAGGAGGGAGAGGGGGGTGCGGGCAGGAGGAAGGGAAAGGCGACCTGTGCAAGATGCGCCACTACTGGTCATACCTGCCAATGGGTGGACGAGGACCGCTTGCCTGACTAGTACAAAACATGGCAGGTGTACGAATACTGACTCCTATACAGTGTTAGCCGAAAGGTTAGGAGTCGATAGGGGTGACTTAAGTAGACGAGGGTGGGCATGGCAGGAGAGTTGGCATGCCGTACATAGCTGTGTAAAGCATTTTACAATGGAGGGCGTGGATTAGGGAGTACACAGGCTTCGACTCCATGACGTCAACATGATAGCACGGTGCCCATTATACAAGAGACGAGGCATGCATGGTGCGAGTCAGACGCCCTCTCGGCGTGATTGACTTGCAGGGAGGAGGTACTGCATGCATGCAACACAATCACCACCTCTACCTGCCTCTCGTCCTTCCTCTCCTCCCGTCATTGCAATCGAAATCACAAGCATGGAACCATCCACACTCGGGTCCAACGTTTGACCCCCTTTCAGCAATCGAGCTGTAACAGCAAGCAGGCCCCCCATAGCGCCACGTATGGGACGTGGCGTACTTGTCCAACCAGTCCGATGCGAGCACAGTGATGCACACAGCTCACTGATACGAAACGCAAACATGCTACTGCCGTACACATACAAGCGAGGATCATACATCGTCGTCAATGTGTGGTACAAGCAACTCCGCTTCCTTCTAACTACTCCGGCGCGGCGCTGTCTTCTATCTTCTCACGTGCGTGTACCGACCCATGATGGGTCTCTGCGTCTCTCATCGCCCTAGCCATTGCCGCCGTCTAACGCTGAAAGGCACAGCTGTACTGTATCTAAGACACAAAAGGCAACGTACTTGAGGCATCGCATTTCGGCAGTCAGTTAGCCATGCAAGCCACACGCGTTAGCTCACCCTAAGAAGCGACGCGCACACCGTGCATGCTTCCTCAACTGCCATGTCGTACCCTGAGCTGTCCTGCTTGGCATCTCTTCTACGAATCTTTCCGCTACAAAGGCAGAGATAGCCCCCCTCCAACTGTCTTCTCTCTTCTCGGACTCTTCAAGATTGCAACATTGTGACTATTTTGCGGATGTTTGATCTTCTCCGTCACTACCCCTCAGGAACACACATGCACACTTGCTTCGCTTCGCGGTATGACCCGGTATGACTCAACACTCAGCACCCACGGTCGCCTTTCCTAACCCTCCTCCCCCCCATCCTCACAGCAGGTTCAGCGTGTCCCGCACCACCAGCCCCAGTCCCAGCGCCGTCAGCAGCAGGAACCCCGACGCCATGAACCCCTGCTCCAGCGCCGCCGGCAGCTTCCTGCCGCCCCGCAGCCCCTCCAGCCCCAGCAGCAGCAGGTAGCCGCCGTCCAGTGCGGGCAGCGGCAGCGCGTTCACCAGCGCCAGGTTGATGTTCACGATGGCGGCGAACTGGAAGAGACCGGCGGCGTCGGCGCGGAGGACCTGAGGGGGTGTGAGAGAGGATGGGAGGGGAGGGGAAGAGGAGAGAGGTGACCCATGGGTCGCTCGAGTGGGTTGGTGTGGCGATGATGGCGGAGGTTCATTCCCCCCTCCGGCCCCCCTTGCAGATCCCACTCACCTGCGAGCCGGATGCCACGATGGCCACGGGTCCGCTCAGCTGGCTGCTGGTGGCGGCGAAGTTGGTGAGCAGCTGCCGCAGCCCGCCCCACACCGTGCCACACAACCTGGAAGGGGTGGGGGATGGAGCAAGAGGGTTGTGGGAGGAGGAGCAGGAGGAGAGCAGGAAGGTCCCTTCCGGGAGCTGCAGACACATGCGCATGCGGAGCCGCCGCCTCCTCCACCCCCATGATGCAACCCATCATGGTGCACCCTCATCACATGGCAGCAACAGTTTTCCCCCTCTTTCCCCTACCGGTAACCCTCAAACCCCCCCTTTCACCCGCCCCCCCCCACCTCGCGAACTCCCCTCCCGTCATGTCCAGCAGCCCCCCCACCCCGGCTGGCCGGCTGTGCAGCACCACTGTGTTGGCGCTCAGCTGCACGCCCAGCCGCCCCGCGCCGTCGGGGCCGCGGTCGGGCACGCAGCGCAGCTCCAGCACCTCCCCGCCCGGCAGAAGCAGCGCCTCGCTGTCTGCTGCTGCTGCTGGGTCTCCGGTTTGCCGGCTTGCTGCTGCTCGTGGTGGTGGTGAAGGAGATAGGGACGGAGACGATGAGGGCGGGGCTGCTGCCGTTGATGATGTGGGTTGCGTGTCTGCGGATGCGGATGCTGCTGCGGATACCCCCTGCTCAGCTCCCCCTCCGGCTGGCGCGGGTCGCAGCACGGTGAGGGTGATCTCCTGGCCGGGTGGAGATGCGCGGATGGCGGCAACCGAGTCGGACACCTGGGGGCAGGGGGGTGAGGGAGCGCAGAGGTGAGGGCAAGACAGTGCAAAAGCAAGGCGGCGTGACCGAGCCGCTGTGGGTACGCCTGCTCAGCTACCGTATCCCCGGGGCGCCCGTTGGTTGCCCGGCAGCACCGGTACCGTAGCAACCCTCCTCCCGCCGCCCCTCCGCCCTTCTGAACAGGACAGCAGGGGTTCGCAGCTGTCTCCCTCTCCTGCTTCCCTGCTCCCTCCCTCCCTCCCTCCCTTCCTCTCCCTCCTCCCCTTCCACCTGCGATGGCCCCGCGGGCAGCTGCAGGTCCCCCACGGCCAGCAGCACGTCCCCGCTGCGCAGCCCCGCACGTGCACCCGCGGGCAGCGAGGAGAAGGAGGAGGAGGCGGAGAGGGCGGCTGCTGGGGTGGTGATGTCCACTCGCACACCCGGCAGGAAGGCGGTCTCGGCCTTGCCTACCGTGGCGATCTGGGAGGGCGGGCGGAGGGAAGGGAGGGCGGGATGGGAGGAGTTGGGGTGTGGGTTAGGTGGGGCAGGTGGCTTGCTGCCACACAGACCCCCAGTCCCGTCCCTTCTGTCCCCCCCCCCGCTTATGCTCTCGGGACCCCCCACCACCACCACCTTTTTCTACCGCGCCACCCCCCAGCCTCCCCCACCTGTGCCAGCAGCACCAGATATGCGAACACCATGTTGGCCGCCACACCCGCACTGATCACCAGCGCGCGCTGACCCAGGGGTCGGTTCTTCAGCAGGTCGGGGTCGTCGGAGGAAAAGGAGGGGGAGGAGGGAGAGGGAGAGGGGGAGGAGGCAGCAGGGGAGGAAGATGAGGAGACGGATTTACTGGATGAGGAGGAGGAGGAGGAAAGGGACTTGAAGAAGGACGCTAGCTTGGAGGAGGAAGAAGAGGAGGAGGTAGGAGGAGCGGGTTTGGTGGGTGGCTTGGTGACGCCCGCAGGCGGCTTCACGGAGGAGGAGGAAGCGCCCCCACTACTGCTGCTGCTGCTGCTGGCGACGGCGGCGGCCTTGTCTGATGCGGATGCCTTGGTAGCAGCTGAGGAGGAGGCGGCAGGTGGTGAGGGCGGCATGTCATCATCCGGGAAGGCCACGTAGCCGCCCAGGGGTATGGCGTTGAGGCAGTACTCCACCTCGGGGCCCTGGGGGTGGGGTGGGGGGTGGGGGGCAGCGCAGGGGGGAAGTAGGGAAGAAGAATGGAGGGAGGGGGGGAGTTGGTTGTGATCCGTAGTGCCGCATGGAAGGAGGGAGTGGGCCAGCTGGGAGGAAGAGTGTGTTTGATAGGAGACAACGGGGAAGAGAAGAGAAAGTGGGGCCGCGTGAGGGGTTCAAGATGCTCTGTTACGTAGGTATGCGAAGCTGGATGCTACTACAGCCCTGCTGCCCCCCTCACGGCCCACCCGGAATCCCCCACACCCAAGCGCGGCCCCCCCTTCTCGGCTTCTTCCTCAAGTCATCTCGGTTTCTGGTAACCAAGCAATCTGTAAGTCTCGTGTTGCGTGTTTCTAGAACAGTGTCTCCGAATTCGCTCACAACATGAGTCGGGATTCGGGATTGGGACTCTGTTGATGCACTTATCTATACGTTTCCCGTCTCGCTGCCCTACCTTGTACTTCAGCAGCGTGGGCCCAAACCCGATGGCAAACCGCGTCACCCGGATGCCCTGCAGCGGCAGCAGCAACAGCGTCGTAACGGCAGAGACAAGCGGCAGCAGGAACATGATGACATCGGCACCAGCAGGAGCCACCAGCCCTCTTTCCCTGCATGCATCCACTCCCGCACCCCTAACCGCAGAAGCATCACCCGCCCCTGACCTGCAGTCGTGCCGCTGCGAAGTGCCCCGCCTCGTGCACCGCCACCACCGCCGCCAGCACCCCCACTGCGGAGAGCACCGAGCCCGACTGGGCGGGGTCGGACACCAGGGCTGCAGGGCAGGGGGGGGGGAGGGGGAAGGAGCAGGGAGGGAAGGGAGGGAGGTGGGGGGTTGAAAACTACGGTAAGAGCCCTATCTGTAGGCAGAAAGAGGAGAGAGAGAGAGAGAACGGCTGAGCGAGAGACGGATGGGGAGGTGGGAAAGAGGGGCAGGAAGGGGTAAACGGCGGGGGGTTGGTTGGAAGGAGGCAGGAGGAGGGGGAGAGAGGGATAGAGTTGAGGAGGTAAATTTAGTGCGGTTTGCCGGACGTCTGGTCGCATGGTCCACTTGGTATAGCAGTTAGGAGAAATGCCAGGAGAGATGTCTACGAAGCACGCAAAGCGCTGCTGGACGAAAGCCATGGCTAGAAGAGGCTTACCGGCGAAAAGGCTTCCAAGCAGAACTGTGCTGGGCATGGATGGGAGCCAAATGGGCTTTTGCAAGAACTCCTCCTTGTTATGGCTCTCTAGCCCTGCTGGTTGTACTGGTGTTTGCGACAAGCTGAGCATCGTGCCAACGCTTTGGCATTCGGCTGCGTCCTCGTCGTCACGCAGAGATGGAGCAGAGGGCAAGACGAAGTCATTTGAACGTCGTAGATGCAACGAGCGCAAGATTAGAGGGGCTCTGCCCTTCGGCGGTAGTAGCCTATAAAGCCCTTTCCGTGTCCGTGTATGGGCAATGCGGCCAGATAACGAAGAACCCGACTGTAGCATTTCTACCAATCGGCTATCAATATCTCGAGAATCAAGACACGATAAAATACTCGGTGCAGCTTGCAACTAAAATTTAACTCCAAAATCTGAAAGGTAAACCGTGCTAGTACATGTGTAGAAGCCAAAAGCGCTATTGTGACTGCTTGAAACAGATAGCGTTTGTCATCCCGCGCTTGCTGTACGGCAATCCTTTCTCGTCCTCAGAAGTTCGGGTGGCTAGCTCAAGTTTTTTGACACGGTAAAATCTATAACCTCTCCCCAGATACAAGTCTACTGTCTTAGCCCGTGCGTGTATTGTTGACGTCGTCGGCTTAACCACGACCAGTGGTTCACACACGTAGCCTTCCAGGCCGCCTTTAGCTCCACACCGCTTTATGGAAGTCATCAAACAGCAGCGCTGTGGGCGTCATGCTCAGCCAATAAATCAAAGACGCAAGGTTACCCCCCCATTGGCATTGTTTAAGAGGTCATCTGCGGTCGTCGCCGAGGAGAAGCCCAAGTCGGCAAAGGGCGCCAGGAAGACACCTGCACCTGAGGAAAACGTAAAAGCAAAGTAGGTCGACCTCTGCATCGCGTGTTTGCCAACAAGCAAGTAAGCTGTATAATGCCACGTAATGCGTCGAACATGCACCGCACATTCGAGTGGCGAGCGGGGTGTCCTGAACACATTACAACTCAAAGCTACGACGGGCTAATAATATTTATGAATTTTTGTATGGCATACTTTAAAAGGCCTCAATGGTTTCTTAAGCCAACCGTCGGCTGCCAAGGCACTTGACGCCGGCGACAGCTCCTATCCGGTATCCGCCAAAGCTATCTTTATGTTCCCTCTTAACACTACTTTCCATTGGCTCAATGTTACCTGCCACCCTGTGTCTTGCTGTTCCCTTCCAGCCCGGCAACTAAGCTTGCTTACTACCGTACACCCGCCAATCCCGCTCCTGGCCGCTGCAGGCAAGGCGCTTTCTCCCAGGCGCTCAATGCACTCGACTTCACCTCCACTCGCAGTCAGGCGGATGCGGAGCTGCTGTACGAGGCCAAGTACGGCAAGCGGGGGGCGGACGGCAAGATGACGCCGGAGCAGTACAAGTGAGGCAGCTTGGCAGGCTGCGCATAGGCCACCACACTGAGCAGGCCCTCCGCCACATGGTTGGCTTGCTGCTTGTTGGATTCCGGTGCCTTGGTTGTTTTGTGGTTTAGGAGGTTTCATAGTCCGGCCATGCCAGTAAAAATAATAAAATTTTTTGCTTACTCTACCCCACCTCAGGGCTCTACGAAGAAAGGTGATTGGGACCGCCCAGGACTTTTGGAAGGACTGGGTGGAAGAGGAACAGGTAAGGGTGACCCATGGGTCGTTCAGCACGGGGTAATGTGATCTTGTTATTTGCCAATGCCGCATTTGTTTTCCTAACGCATACCGGTATCCTAGTTAAATGGCGACTAGGCATAGCCGTCGCAATAATTTTTGGCTGCCGTCGTACACTTACCCTTATCTTGTTCGTACAATTCGCAGGTCAAGACTATTAAGACGTACTACAAGCCGGATGACGCGGGCGGTACGGTGCCGTACCTGGAAGTCCTTATAGGGGTGGTGGTGGCCGTGCTAGCCACCACGGTGTGGGTGGTAATTAAGACAAGCAGCTGAGCTGACCACGTTGGGACTGTGTGAAGGGGCATGAGCTGAGTGCAGAGCGAGGGAGAGGCAATGATCTGGTTAACCTTATTGGAGTGGGTTTCGCAGTTTAATGGTTTTATTCCGCTGGGGACGTTGCGTTTCATTTAATCGAGTAACTGGACAAGTGCCTGGGTGCATCCTGTGACTTTTGGCTGTCGACTTGGCTGCGGATGAAGGGAGATCTATCATTTGCTCGTCCGTTGGCAGGGAAGATTTCCATTTTCATTTCTACAAGCTTGCGGTGACAGATGGCGCCCTAACCGTAGAAGCCCCCGTGATTGTCATGGAGTACTGAGACTTTATTGCGCATGCGGCTTGAAACTCCGCATTGCCCTCCACGAGTGTTGTTATTTAGCTGCTGCCATCTGACCTAGTTCAGAGTACAGATGGACTGCGCGGGCGGCTATGCTACCGGTTGTTGCATGTACGGACGGACGGGATTTTACCTGAGGCCTACCCGGCTACGGCCCTTCACCCTTTGTACAGCGAAGCATCGTCGAAAGAGGTAAAGAGGGAGCTGACCTGTCGCTAGCTGAGGTTCCTTGTCGTGTTGCACCAGTGCTAATCGACGGACGGACGTAGACATGGAAACGGCGTGTGCATCGCCACGTGTAAAGGATTAAGAAATCTTGTCACAGGTGTCACATTTAGATACGGTAGCTGGTCATTGTCCCACGTTTAGTGAGCGGCTAATTCGCTCGCAACGCACGCACGCAGAACCCCACAGTGTCGAGTCATGACAGCTGCCGGCGGAACGCTAGCAACCCATCACCAAGACAAACCGCAACCGGCACACATCTATTGTACAGCACGTAACGATAGACAACATGTAACAAACACCTCCTGTACCAGCCTTTACAGGGTGAAAACACACATTTCCGTACGATGTGCGTCTCGACCTCCGTACGGGCAGACCCACCAAACGCCGGCACCAAAGCATCTCACGTTCCTACACACTCCTAATCGGTATTGTACAAAGCCACACCGAGCCCAGGGGAGAAAAACCATACAAGCAAATAAACAGTAATTCCGCACAAAACACATAGTGCACACGCTGCGGCCTATTGCCTATTGCAGCCTACCTCTTCAACATATGTCACCACAACACGACATAGCACAGACAACCCCACACCATTCGACACGAGGCATGGAATGCAATAAGCTTCACATATTAAGCTGCACACTGCGCCGCAGTAGCGCCAGCTGACTGCGCATGCCTAGCGGCTCTACACACACCTGCGCAGCTCCACTGTCGCCGCTAACCAGGTAGTCGCGACTGAGGTGGATTCCCAGTCACCCCTTACTAAGCCGCTGCCTCCCTACGTCACTCTACCGCTAGTACCGACAGGAAGTGAACTACAGCTCTCCCGTCCTTGCACGTCGCGCATGTTATATAGCTGTGGTCTTAACTACTTGTGCACAGGGGGGCGTCCTCCAGCTCGACTGCCCCGCTGCTACATCCTACCGTGGGCCTCCTAAACAGAACTTCTTCGATGCACACGGGATTTCAGGGCGCCGACTGCCTACCTGTCATGGAAGCAACGGCTGTCATGGTAACACCCCCTTCACATAGATATGCCAAGCGCTGCGATCTGCGGGCACCTCGCCGTTACCCCTCTTCCTACTGCAGCACCTCCCCTTCGCGTCCTCCTCTCTACAACTGAACCATAGAGCGCATTTTGGCGCATCTTCTCACTCCATGCCACTTCTTCACGTTTCCATTTAACTCCATGCCCCGTGCTCTGCTTTTTTGCGCTTCCTGTCGTGTGCGACAACACACCCCTCTCACACCCGCTCAATCTCACTGCAGCACCATGCCCCTCCAACCCGCACGCGCGCTTTCTGCTCTAACGCTCCATGGCCAACGTCCAGGAGGTCTTCTCCGGCCCCAGACTACACAGCACACCTCTATCCTCCACGCCCCGTGCGCTATGTTACGTTACGTGTGTGAAGCACGACGCACGCGTAAACCTTGTACCGGTGCTGCTCGATGTGGGTCGGGCTCAAACGCATGACCCCTCTACACAGCCACGTAGGGCACGAACCCAGTACGACCCAAGCGTCCATATAATTGGTGCCCTGTCAGGTAACAGCGCCATCCTAGCCCCTTCTCCCGCTCCTAGCCAGGTACGTGCTGCTGTGCATGTGCTGTGCCGAGTTCGGCTGGTCAGAAGTACGCAACCCCTCAGTTAGACCACCAACACGCGTCTCGATGGGCCCATCCGGAGCCCCCAAATCCCATTCAGTCACCGCATGTCCGCTTAGTCGCAATGAACTGCCAAGGAGGTCGCTTGCAGTCAGTAATGGCATCCGCCTGCTGCTGTTGCAGCTACGTCGAAGCACCAGGCGTGAAAAGAACCAGGAGCCGTAAAAGCCGTCTTACTTTGCCGTGCTGACAGACGCAGGCGGGCCGGTCATGGGGATATACGTGAGGTCGGAGGCGGGCATTTTAATGGCGTTGCCGTACAGGGCCTCCACGCGCTGCACCACATCTCGGGCTGCGGCAACAACCTCCGGCACGTGCGCGCGCGCGGACTCCTCCGTCTCACCGATACTGCGCATAAAGGTTTCGCGGGTGGGCATGGTGACCAGGCCAGCCCAGACGGCGGTGCGAACCATATAGGTGTGGATTGGATGGAGCGAGCCCTGATAGGCGGCCCACAGCGCGTCCTTTAGCTGCATCGTCGGATTATCCAGCAGGTTCGAGAGCATAAGGCGCACGAAGGTGATGACCAGCATCAGACGGTGGAGGTTGCGCGCACAGGAGCCCTTCACAGTGGCCTTGTTAGCCTTAACGTCCGCCTCCACCACCTCACGGAGAGTTGTCAGCTGGCCAGACACGCGCTTAATGGATTCCACTTTGCCTCCCATTTCGAGCTTTGCAAAATACATGATGGTGCCCAGGTGGTCGAACGCCTCGAGGATGTGCTCGCAAAGCGACGAGAAGTCCTTGGCTGTAATGGCATCACCCTGCTGATGTACTGTTCGAAGAGAGGCCGCCAGCACCTCCAAGTAGCGGCTTTGCGGGTGCTTGGTCATGTTGCAGTAGGAAGTAAGAGGAAGGCGGACCCGTCCGCGCTATATGTCTCACAAGATAATAAGGTGGTAATCCTTATATACAATTGCCGCCTTCATAGCCTCCAAGGGCGCCTGTGACGGTAAAAGTTGCATGAATCGCGTACGTCAATTCCAATCCGGCTGCTCGCCTTCTAACAATGCCGACAAGGCTCCATGTGCTGACAGGTTGTGAAGTTCACAATGAACATGTTGAGCTATACAATGTAGGTTTTCAACAAAGCCTGAGCTGACTGTGTGGAAGACCTTGGCATGGACTCGGAGCCGTGCCAGCGCTGTGGCGATAACGCTGTATCATTTGATCCTTCAGGCGCTTGCTATGTATGCCAGAGCTGCGGCTTTGTGCCTCATGAGCAGGGTCTTGTATCCTACGATGAGACCACAGCTGCACATGGCGAGGACCAGCAGCAACACCAAGGCTACCATGGCCAGTCAGCTGCAGCTGCCGCGTATGCAGCGGTTGCAGGTGAGGCGCTCCCGCTGGACGTATGCGAGACCAGCGTCCCTTGCGTCCAGTGATGGCTGGGTTTGGGGAAGGGCCATGACCCGGTCATGTACTCCTTAAACCTCACCTACTAATAAATTACTAGACGCCTCCCTAAACTTCCACTGCTACCTTTCAAGGGTCTGGCACAGCTGCACCCCACGGATCCCTGGCGATTGCGCCGCCGTACATTGATGACGGCGGCCTCTTGACCCACTCTCGTCCATCCTAACCTTCACCGCTCCCTCCTCCACCACCTGCTATTCTGCTACAGGCTCCGCTGCACCCGCACCCCACGGCGGCGGAAGTGGCGGCGGCTTATCGGCGCTGCCGTACGGCGGCGGCGGTGGAGGCGGCGTCCTGACGACGGCACTGCGGGTTCGCTCCGCTGCCGACCCCAGCGGCACCTCCCGCGCCCATCGGCAGCGGCAGCAGCTAGACCAGCTCCAGGGGCTGGCGGCGACGTTACGACTTCCCGGACCTGTCGTACAAGTGGCCGCGGGGTTCCTTGCGCGGGTAGGTTGTGGGTTCTTGGCGTGTGGATTGGGGTGTACGTGCGGTTATTGTTCGGGTGGGCGGTTGTGTGGATGGGATGCTGATGGTGGTTGGGTCATCGGGTACGTGGGGTTGCTTGTGTCCCCCTCCCACTCATCGCCACCTTCCCCCCGAGCCCTCCTTTTTGCAATCCCTGCCATGCTTTTGTAAACTTCTACAGATACACCAAGGCCGTGCAGCAGACGCAGCAGCAGCAGCAGCTGCCCCCAAGCCGCTCCCGCTTCCCGCCCCGCCCCCCTCCGCCACCGCCGCAGCTGCCCACGGCGCGTATGGGAGCGACGGCACTGGCCATGTCAACACCGGCGGTGACGGAAGCGGTGACGGGGGAGCTGCGTTCGGTTCGTACGGCGGCGGCAACAGCGCGTGTGCGGATGGCGGCGGCGGCAGTGGCAGCGGCATTGGCCGCCGTCATCCATCTGTTACTGCGGCATCAGAGCCCCACGCTGGGGCACCACGACGGGAGAAGACGGTCCTGCAGGAGGAGGCTGCTGAGGAGGAGGAAGGCAAGGAGGAGGAGGAGGAGGGAGGTGCCGATTATTGGGACGAGCTTGAGGAGGCCGATGACGAAGATGGCAATGCGGAGGCGGAGGAATGCGATAATGGCGAGGATGATGCTGGTGGCTCTCGTCGGCGTGGGAAACAGCAGCAGACCCCAGCCCCGCCTGTGCTGGGCGGTGCGAGTGCGGCAGCTCGGCTGGGTGCGCTGCTGTACGTGTCCTCTCGCGCGGAGGGCGGCAGTTTGACACTGGCGGAGGTGGCCATTGCGACGGCAACCGACATGTTTCGGATTGGGGAGATGGCCAGGTGGGATCCGGGGCGTTGAGGGAGGTATCGCGTGTAAACAGTATAAACAGAGGTGGAGAGACATGTACCTTCTATCAGATCGCTGTTTTCCGAGCGCACGCACTCGCCTTCCATCCCTCCAGGCGCCAGACTGCCTACCTGCGACTGTCCCTCCCAGCGGTGGATGTAGAGCGGCTGGTGGTGCGGACCGCCCTGCAGCTGGCAGCGCACCTAGCCGGCAGGCGGGGGGAGCAGCAGGGACAGGGGGGCCAGCAGCAGGGGCAGAGCCAGGGAAGCAAGCGGAGGCGGCAGCAGCAGCAGCAGGCGGCGCCGTCGCATGGAGCAGCATGGCAAAGACGCCGGACAGAGCAGCAGAGACTGCTGCTGCCAGCAGCTCCGGCTGGCAGCGACGAGGATGCCAACACCACCGCCGCCGCCCCCGCCGCCGAAGACGCGGCTGACGACGACAACTCTAACCACCCCAACCGCGTCAACCCCATGCGGCTGGTGGTGGTAGAGGAGGGGCCCGACACCGGCAACGTCATGGGCGGTCTGGGCCTGGGCGGAGCACCCAGTGGCCCTGGCGGCGGTGCGGGCGGTGCGGGCGGGGGCGGGGGTGCCCCCCTGGTGAGTGAGAGCGCGCTGCGGTCCTCCCCGCTGGTGCGGCTGGCAGGGCAGCTGGCGGGGTTGGCTGTACGGCGGGGCTGGCATGAGGGGCGCTCGCCGCGAACGGTGGCGGGAGCGCTGCTGAGCATCTGTCAGGACGCGCTGGGGGGCCCGGCGGGCATGGTGCCGCAGGTGGTGCCGGGGGAGGGCGATGGTGGGGGACAGGGTGGCTGGGGCGTTAGTGGTGGTGATGGTGGTGGTGGTGATGGTGGTGGGGCAGGGGGGGAAGGGGAAGGGGGAGCAGGGTGGTGGCAGCGGCCGCTGACGTTGGTGGAGCTCGGTGGTGTGGCGCTGTGTGCGCCCAACAAGCTGGGGGAGCTGAAGCAGGAGGTGAGGGAGAGGGGGCGGAGGGGTGCACAGCAGGGGGGTGGGGGTAGGCAGGAGGGGGAAGCTTTCGGGATAATTTATCTTGTCTAATCGGCGCCACACTGTTACCCTCTCGTCCTTCGGTGCATCACGCACCCTGAACGGCTCCCTCCCCACATCGTTCCCCTCCTTGCCCTCCTCTTCGCCCTCCCCACTTGGTCTTACCGGTGTTCTTTCCCCCTCACCCTACACCCTGTTCTCCATGTGTAGGTCCTGGCCCACCTGGTCCGACTGGCCGCCCCCCTGCCGTTCGCCCCGCTGGTGTCCCCCACCAACGTGGCGGCGTACCTGGACGTGATACTGGCCGCGGAGGGGGTCATGGGGCTGGGGGGCAGCTAGGGGGATAGCGGCAGGCTTGGGGGGGAAGGGATGACAAGAGGGGAGTGGCAGGGGGAGGGGAGTGATGACAGCGACAGGAGCAGCACTGCCGGTGTTGGGCAATACCGAAGAACCAGCTGCTAGGCGTGAGATGAATAGAGGAAGGCACAGCTGGGCGGAATGGGAAGTAGGAAAGGTGTATCGGAGCTAGGCGTACACAGATGAGCATTGGTTGAGCACTTGCTAGGTAGATGGCACCGGCTGTGGCAGGAGCAGCGGTAGCCTAGGAGATAGGCGTACGCCTTCACATCATCACGTTTCACGTTATCATCACGTTAAGTTTACTGGTGTGCTAAGGGAACCATGGACCCATGGGTCACCAACCTATAGCTTTGCATGCCGAGTTTCTGGCCCCTTGCAAAGGAAAAATGGGCGTCATGCTCGCGAGAGGGTCGCAACACACGCAACACAGTACGTGAGCAAAGGCCTTCAAACCGGGAAGAATGTGACTTGCATGCTGGGCAGTTGCTTTTACGCGTCCGGTAGAAGGAGAGGGGCTTGGAAGAAGAAGTAAGTGTGTTTTGCTCGCTATGTCATGCCCGGCGCCAAGACTGGGGGCGGTGTAGCCTACCAGCCACTGTAGCCGCTGGAGGTGTGGAAGCTCTGTGGAAGCTGAAGGAGGGCAACGGTACAGGAGACTGAACTTAGGATGCATACGACCTAAGGGTGTACCATGCTGTAAGATGCTGGTATCGAGTGTCGTGGGTATTTACAATGAATCAACGCAAAAGGGTAGCATCGTGATGCAAGAATGCACCCCGTACAACTTTTTAAGATATCCATCATCAGGAAAGGTAACAACATCCGCAACATGGCCACTTCTGTTCAAGGACAGGGCCCGCACTCGTTCCGGGTATGCATGGCTTGCGTACCGAGAGCACGCGGCCTGACTTTCTAACTGCAAATCGAAGCTTTCCGCGCACACCTATCAACGATCCATGAAAGCCCACCCGCTCCAGTGAACCTCCTGAGCGCCGGATGCATCTGCACAACATTCACATTCAACCTTCCCGTATACACCATGTCCTCAGGATCGTCAGCCACGACCAGCCCGATGTCCCTGGTGGTGCCGCGTTCTGGAAGGAACTCAGGATGGGTGGCCCACCAGTTTGCGGGAATAGCGGTTCCGTGTCTTCCGTGGAGACCTAGATGAAAACCCGTCATGTGCACCAAACTGTCGCTTCCCAGCCATCGTGGGCGAAACACGTGCGCTGCCATAAGAAGGAAGACCTCACGGAAGGGAGCGCCTTGAGTAACCCGGAGCCAAGAGGTTATGCAGCAGCCTTCGTTATTGAGGTTACTGGCGCTCCCAGTAAACGCCAGTCACCTCAATAACGAGGGCTGTTCCATAACCTCTTGGCTCCGGGTTACTCCATTCGGTCATGACCGTTGCAACGGGGCGGGTCCGCTCTGTGCTATCAGCCCCATGTGCAGACTGAAAGACCTGTCCCATAGCTTCCTTACTCAGCGGTTAGGACTCCAGCACAGGGTCGTAGGCGACACTCTCCGGCGGAATGGTAGACGGGAGCGTCAAAGAGGCTTGTCCAGTACGGGCATTTTCCAGCGCACGTGTACCACATGGGCCAAGCTGCTTTGTTATTGCTTACTTCTATTCATTTGGCAATTCTATGCATAGACCAAAGTTCGTCCTGGCTGTCCGTGGAGGTGCGAGCAATGAGCTGCACAATTGAAGAGCAGACTCGTTTCCGCTGCTGCACAACGTTTATACATACAGCCATACATTAGGGCCATATCCAGAAAGCTATAACGTGTTATGCAGACACGATGGAACGTGTGGTGACGATGACCCTTTGCGCTGGGCTGTCCCTAGCCAGCTGCCCTTGTGATCGTTAAATTCTAGTTTGTTGTCAGGCAAGAAGCTATGTATTCCAGCATAACGTCCAGTGACCCTAAAGGGGACTTGGGGTGTCGCGCGTGTCGTTCGGTTTTGCGGGCCCATCAACTAGTAAGGGCCGCCTTCGGCGGGAGATGCCCGTAGCTCGCGGGAGGTGATGTCGAGGAAATGCGGTTGCACGCATGCATGTAGGGCGTGAGGATGCAGAAAGATGCTTAAGCACAAAAGGAATGGCAGCGATTGTTGCCAAGGCTGCTAGCATATGTAAACGGGTAGGAAGCACAAACAGCTTGAGGGAAGCCAAAGAAAAACGCAGCGTTGAAGGCACGCAGGTGGTGGAGTGCAAAACCCTTCCTACCCGCCCGAGTACCGGTGCTCATGCTTATGTGCGCATGCCGTGCCGTGCACTGCTGAAGTACCGGTACTGGCACCTGTGGGTTAGTCCGTCGAACCCACCCAAGCATCAACGCTGTTGCGTGAGTGCATACCGACCCGGCACAACCCACCCGGCGCATAAACCGGCATTGGTACATGCATGCATACCCGCCAGTACCGGTAACTCGAGGAACACACCGCCAGGTGGAGGGCATGGGAAGCGGCTGAGGGCGCGGCTGTTGGGGGGCAGGAGCCGGCGGGCCCAGCGCAGCGTTGCACATCCATCCTCTTCAACAGGGAAACGATGGTGCAGAGGCTGGTGAGGAGGAGCGCTGCCCTTAGGCTGGACAGGCGAAGCAATACCAACATAATGGCTCCCCGCGCGTGCGGCCATCGCCTTGTTGGAGAAACGCCGCCCATGCAGGCAGGCATACCTGCCCTGCTAGCTACTGGCACCCACATGCGCATGCAACCCCGCCCCTCTCGGCTATCGGTGCTTATGCGTGTAGACCTCCAGTCGTCCTGCCAGGAACAGGCACCCATGCGTGCAAGCATCACCCTTCTCCCATCCATTTCCGTCGCACCCACCCGCGCATCAGCTGTCATGCGGGTACGCAGACCCATTGTGCCCGTTTACCGCGGTGATGTACACATGCATCCCTGCCCTGCCCAGGTACCGAAACCAATGCGTTCGTGCCGAAATCCCCGCCCTACTCAGTTACACTCGGCCATGCGACCAGCGGCCCCGCCCTGCTCACCAGCTGGCACATGTGCGTACAGAAGTGAAGGCATTGGAGGTAGGAACTTCACTGGAAGGGCAGGAAGGCCACACGCAGGCCCGCAGGAGGCCCGCAAGGGTGCTGCACCGATAAGGGCACAAGAAACCATAGCTTCTTTGGTGTTACATGCAGGCTTTCTAGCAGCGGAAACGAGTCTGCTCTTCATTTGTGCAGCTCATTGCTCGCACCTCCACGGACAGTCAGGACGAACTTTGGTCTATGCATAGAATTGCCAAATGAATAGAAGTAAGCAGTAACAAAGCAGCTTGGCCCATGTGGTACACGTGCGCTGGAAAATGCCCGTCCTGGACAAGCCTCTTTGACGGCATCCTCTTTGACGGCATCAGCGAAAACAGTAGCTTATAAAGGTGGTCGTACTCCGCTTGGTCCTTCCGGCTAAGGCGGAAACCGTGCCTTCGCAAACTGCTGAGCTCCTTTACGCGGCGCATGACCTCGGCAATCTCCTCCTCGGTCAGACGCGAGGCTTCGCGAGAATACTTGTTGCCCATCCTGGCCAATCCTGCAAGTATACGGGAATAAGGAAAAGTGGACTAAAGCAAGGACGCTGGCGTGTCCCTTACCAAAAAAGGCTCACGAAGGTGCCCAACGGGTTGCGGATGCAAGTAGAAGCTAGCGTTTTTATTAATGAAGGGTGCGTACACTGGAACGCTATGACAAATTTAGGAAGCGCTTTAGAAACGTCCCTCTGCGTTAACACAGGATGGCGGTAGTGCCCGCCGAAAATGCGCCAGGCAGCCAGGGTAAATTGTTCACCGTACGTCGTACACTTTCCAAATGTTTCCGGCCTCGCGCAGACGTCGCCTATGTACTGCATAAGGCGTGACCACCTCGCAAGATATCTTTCTCAATACTGTACCGATTACTGTTTTGTTCGACGATATGTGTTTTATTGACCGTTGCCCCTGCTTCCGCTTCTGACAGCGGCAGATAGGACTGTTCCGGACAAATTGATGTGAAACCGTCCCCACAACGGGCAACATAAATGGCCGTTAGTCAATGAGGGACGTGGTAGCGTGTCAGGTCAGTCCAGTAAGCAACACGGGAGAGTGTCTGGGGGAGCGGGGCTGGGTGGTGGGAGGAAAGAGCGGTGTCGGCAGTTCATCCTGCAGCATTGCGGACCTGGACGGAAATGGAGGGACGCCAATGACTGTTACAGTGGGAGGTCCACACTGCAAAATTGGCTTTTGTTCCCACCGGTGCGTGACCATAAACAGCTGACAACCGCCCACGGCCCGGCACAAAAACACACGAAAGCACAAACGGACACAACACACATACCAGCAGACCGCTGAGCAGGCACACATACGTAAACACACCTGGAGACAACATAAAGGGAAATACAGAGATATAAAGGACGGTGTTTTAGATCACGTACGACAAAGACAGTCGTATGTAAGTCCTCCTTGACAAGTTGCTGCTTTATTGCGACTTCCCACACGTCCAACGCACAATCCTCATTACGGCACCAGACGGCATCCAATCCAATCCTTCGGATCCAAAATCCACCAGCGACGGCACAGAGGTCCTGCCACTGGGTACGTGGGGCTCCCCTCCCGCAGCTCACGCTGAGAGACGTGGATGGAATAGGTCCGCACCTCCCCACTCCTCTCAACCGGCATTCTGACCTCACACCCTCTGTCTCAGTGCCTCAGTAGCGTTTAGCACACATAAAAGATCATTTGATGAGTCTCACATGTAAACGGCTGACGCACCTAAAGGGTGTGCCAAATGCCTTTCAACACTCACGTACACTGGATGGCTGCCAGTGAAACCCTCCAAACCCAGCATGCAGTGGGAAAAGCGCACACGTGTGCACCTGATCCTGACCCTGGACACCCCCACACGCCCAAACGAACAACGACTTGCAACGGATACATGCACAGGAGGCGGGTCACGGGGCAAAAGGTGTTTGCTGTGGGCTCGCCGGCCGCTTGATCTATTGTGAATTCCTGCGGACACGCGGCATTACTGGGCCCACTTTACCTCCTATGCCCCTTCCTCAATCCCTCCTTCCCGCCAATAAATCCCCGACAAATAAATCGCGGACACACGCGTTCAAGGTTGCTGGTCACGGATCACCGGTCAACGCACAGAGACGAGGAAGAAGAGGTGACGAGCGAAATACTTGTGTTCAGTACTGCCATTTGAACCACCATGGTAAGTAGGGTCGGTCACACACCCAAGCCATGTCAGGAACAATCGCCCAGATGCGGCAACCTAGATCTGGCCTTTCAGAAGGGAGGGGCTACGTCCTGTAAACCTTAAACTGCCCTAACGACAATTGATGCCCCCTTCAATCCTGCACCCATACGTCCCAGCACAGGCGCCTACTGCCCCGCCTATGTTGATTCCCGCAACATCGTCAACCAGTAATCCCTCATGTTTCTTACTCTTGTCTCGTGCCTTCCTAAGGACTCAACTGAACATGCACATCACAGCCAGACTTCAAAGGCTCAAACTGCACCAACAGCCCTCCAACAATAAAGCAACGCCAGAACACAACCCGTCAACAGCCCCCGTTCTCCTCCACCTCCAAACATCCACAGCCCGTCTGCAGCCGCACCCTCTACATAGCAACATTGCGTGCCTGCCGTCTTGCAGCCTACCCCAAAACTGCTGCACCGCAGCTAGCCGCCACCATGGCGCCCCTCTCCGCTTCCGCCGCCTCCTGCTACTCATCCTCCTCCTCCCCAACCCCCACCACCCCCACCACCCTCTCCTGCAACTGCTGCGACACCCGGCAGCCGCTCGTTCCTGCTGCCACTGCTCTGCCTGCTCTCGATCCCTGCTACTACGCCCCCTATTGCAGCCGTTACTGCCGCTGCTGTTGCCGCTGCACCAACGTATAACATCGCCGCCTTTCCTGCCACATCTGATGTTCCTGCTCCTGCTCTTATAGCAGCAGGTGCCCCTGCCTCTGCTCCTGCCATAGCAGGTGCTGCCGTTGCCACCGCCGCCAGCCGACACCTTGTTAGGCAGACGCCTTGACGGGGCCGTCAGCGGGGTCCTTGACCTCACCGTTGGCACCAGCGAACCTGCCAGCCTGCGCGCCACGAGACAAGACAGGAAAGGAGGGGCGGCAGCCAAGGGAAGGTGGGCAGGAGGAGCGGCAGCGGGAGTGTCAAGTTGAAGGCGGATTTGGTATCGTTAGGGGGAGGGGAAAAGAATGCGAGAGCGCCGCGGAGGTGGCGTAGAAGAGATGGCGGTATGGCTGTATTGGCCTTGCTTGCCGGATAGGGAGCCGTGCCGTGCGCAGGTGAGTGTATACAACGCAACAACAGCTGCTAGGGTGCGTGCCATGTGAAAGTGGGAGGAAGAAGAGAAGGACTACAAGTAGTCAACGCTAGGCTGCAACGCGGCAAAAGGGGAGTGAGGAACGGCGACGGTGGAGGATTCTGGGTCTGTAAGGGGCGGCCGGCCAGCCAACCCGCCCCGTCTCTGCCTGCGTTCCAAGTGCGTTTGTTTGGCTGTGTTCGCATCAGTGCACCACCACCCACCCCCGAGTGTGATTGCTGGTTGTAGCGGCCCCCGCGGTCCATGAGTAGGGTGAAGGCATCGTGCGCCTCGTCGCCCCTGAGAAAGGCAGGAGGGGTGGCGGGTGCGGGAAAGGGAGGGAGGGGAGGGGAAGAGGAACGGGGGCAGCGGAGGACAGGGAGGGGTAGAGGGGAAGGGAAGGTGGTCAGCGAACGATGTACGGTTGTAAGTCCAGTGCTTGCTTTGGCAAGAGATTCAGGGTGGGCGGGTTGGTGACCCAGATAGGACACACTGTAGGGCCATGCGGTTGCGTGGCCACGTGTAATCACGCATGCACAAATGCGGCATGAAGGACGTCTGACAGGGAAATCGAAACAGCAGGAGCAAGGGAACCGCAACAGCATGGAGGACCTGCAGCAGCAGGGCGCAGGGTCAACCCCCAAAGGGCACATACAATGCATGGTTGCCCAGTAGGGACGATCAACAGCAAGGCCAGACGGCCATGTTCCTAGCGCCATTACTTCACACGCTGTCTTCCTTCGCCCCCGCCAACACAGAACTCCCAGGCTGACATCCACCGTTCCTTCTCCTCCCCCCCACCTCTGCAGCGCCAGGAACACGGGCGTGAGTCCGAAGAAGTCGGGCTGGTTGACCAGCTGCTCCTGCTCCGCGGGCGGGCGCGTGTCCAGCAGCACCCGCAGCACCTCGCTGTGACCGGAGCGGGCGGCCAGGTGGATGGCGGTCCTGGAGAGGAAAAGGAGGGGGAAGGGAGGGAGGGGGGTGGGGGGGCGGTTGGTTGCATGTAGTGGTGGAGGGTGACCGAGTGGATTTGACCCAAATCATTGCGGCCCCCTGATCCTGCCATCCACTTTTCCTTCACTCCAAGGCCCCCCTCTATCCAATACTAGGCATTACGAATGACGGCCAAGTGTTTGCTTACATAGGGAATTACAACCCAGGCTCGTCTCAAGGACGCACGCTTTGGCTCTGCCGACCGACCCAATGTTACTTCAACAACTTCCCACTCGCAACGCAATCCCAACCAACTTGAGCTTTTTTCCTTGTGCCTTTTGCTCACCTGCCGTTGCACTCCGTCGCTACTGGATCTACTCCATAGTCCATTAGGCACTCTACTGCCTCTACTTGGCCCGCTTCGGCTGCCCAGTGTAGAGCAGTTCGTTGGTACTTATCACGAATCTGCAAGAAGAATTGGTCATGGATGAATATAACAAAGACCACGATGCAGTTGTCCACAGCACCCAGAAAGCCAAGGAGTTGCAGGCACTTGACATGTGGAGATGCGACTTGTATACGCACGTTAACATTGAATTCAATTGCGCGCTCAATCGTCCGCGTGATGTAGCCGGTAAGACCCCTTTCAGCGGCCTCAAAGATGGTCTTTGGTGGGTCCACCGCCGCAGTCTTGGTCGACGAGGTTAACGACATCCTCGCCGCTACTGTGCCGTTGACTTATACTACTGTAACTGTTAAGATAATTGGTGGGTCGGCAAGTTCAGAAACCGGGTCCTGTCCTCAGCTAACGGAGTGCGATGTGGAAGTCGGGCGGAACAAGCCGAAGACAGTTCAGTAAAGGAGTGTCCAGCGACCGGAAATGATATAGAGAAGCGGAAGATGTATTATGGCTGAAAAGCAAGAAAGGAACCGCTTTCACCGACGAGAATCTGAACAGTAAAGGGCGTGAAGAACTCTAGCAGAGAAAGCAGGCCTGATTACTACCGTATGCTACATATACCGGTCAACTTGTTGTGCTGCACCTGATACCTACCTGCAAGCATGGGTTCGAATGTGACTTGTACGACGCGTCTCGTCGGACCCTGGACTTCGCAAGCGCGTCCGGTAGACTTCAATATGCGATGGATAGTAGTAGTAAGTATTGTTTCTGGTAGCTGAATTTAGGCAGTAAGGAGCAAGGTAGTAGTCCGTTCAACACCCCAAGTTCGTCCTTGCTTCACGCTGTTTTCAGTTGTGGGCAACGTTTGCAGATTTGCGTATAGTGCTACAAAGAAAAAACATATGGGCTACACGTGTTCCTTTGCGTGCCTGGGGTCTACCTCCTATGCAGCATGCCCGTGCCGGTGCAGTACGAGCAAGCATACTCATCGGAAGTGAAAGGACAGGTTCGGCAGTACTGCATATGGACATGCCTAATCATCTCGAAGGTCAACAGCACGCCTCGTTCCCTGCCTCGGTCCCTTCAACCCCACTTGCTCGTACTAGCTTGCTCGTACGTTCGGCCAGTGTCACGTGCAGCTAGGTTTCCAGCTGCCATGCTCAGTGGGCCTGCGACTCTGCTGCGACTGCTAATCCTGTGGCCGTTGTCTCGCTTGCAATATCACACAACCCTTCCCGTAAGCGGCTACGTGACATTTTTGAAGCAGCAGTGGCAGCACTGATATGCCGCAAGGAGTAACTGGTAATGGCTTTGAAAAGGGAGCTGGCGTGCTGTGCAGCCTGTTACGAGGGCAGCTGCTGCAGCAATGCCGGCAGGCTCACGTCAGCGCCAGGGATAAGCCAAAGGTTGCCTAGTACGCATGTGTGGCTTTTCTGGTGCCCGCATGCACAGACACATCTTATCCAGAGACTGGAAGTCGCCATTACATAGGGGGATAGCTACTATACATGCTGCCATCTCTAAGTTTTTAAGTGGTTGACCGAGTTCATAACTTGTACAGATTGTGTATACCAGAGCAACTTCGGCCATCCCCGCGGATCTCCGGGCAATCCTTAGAAGGAACAGAGGACTATCGTACAATCGTAATGTAAAACGGCATAGGCGCGGATTCACGTTACGCGTCCGGTTATGACCAACAGTTCCCCTTTCACCAACATCCATAGCTTCCGTCGGCTAGCAGGGACCAGTTGGGCCGTCCCATGGGTCACCAGTTGACGTGGGTCATTCGCAGACCCATCACCGGTCGTGCCAACGGTTCAAATTGTTTCACCACCACAGGAGTTTAATGATACAGAGTCATCCGTACAGCGCTCACAAGGGCACACCGTACGCAGTGGTTTCGGTAAAAGAAGATATAGAAAAACTCGAGAGCCACAGCCACATGGGGTCAACGCTCATCCATGCTCCTTACTCCGACTGGTCCCCCAATCTCCTCCGTCGCGGTTAGCGTTATGTTTAAAACCCAAGCAGTACGAAACAGGCATTAACACTTCAACAGGCATGCATGCCTGGCCTGGGCCAAACACCTCGCAAACATGTGTTGTCTTCACGGTGAAGCCCCCCATGCCCCTTGCCTTAACAGCAGTTAATTTACACCTCCCGTCCTCCCTCTTAAGATCGCGGCCATTGCCGCACGCTGCTCTCCTCGAGCCTCTTTCAACCGCAATGCATGTATTACTTCTCAACGCAGCATTCGGACCCGCCCCACGCGCGTGCCAGATGCCAACGGCCAACGTACGGTACCCGCCATCGCCGTCGCGGCTGTGGAGGCTGCAGCAGAAGGTACTGGTGTCGTCACAACAGCCCCAGCCACCGCCTTTCCATTCGCCATTGTCCTCACAACCCGGCTGCGGCCATCCTGAGGCGCTAACGCCGTACGATACTGCAACGAACGGTACGGCAATGCGTCAGACAAGCCAACTGGCTGCGGGCGCTCAGGCGCCAATTGTTGCCGGCGTCGCCTCTCCCGCTGTTGCAGAACAAGTATCCACCGCCTCCAATTCGAAAGCTTTAGGGGTTCGGTGAAGCTCTGCTTCAATGGCTGTTGCGTACAGGCAGTGACTCCGTCGCTGCCGTACATCCGCCGCCGCTGGCGACGGCCGCCTTCCCCACTGCTGCCACTGGTGCCGTCACCACTCAACGCCCATGCCAGTACGGCAACCATATCCAGGGGAGTGGAGAGCGGATTGTAGAAGGGAGCAAAGTTCGCCGTACCGTTGTCCATGCCGCCGCTGTTGCTGCGGCCGCTACCGGACGTCGTACCAGCCATTGCAAGCGCCGCTAGCAACAGCGCTAGCGCTGCAGGCGTGGTGTTTGCAGCCATTCGTGCGGCCGTATACAAGGCCGCGTAAGCGTAGTTATGCATGGGGGCCCAAGACGGGGCTGACGATGAGGACGACGGCGACGTCGACGGCGGCTGCACAACAGCAGCGCTCCGACGCAAGGCGGCAGCGGGAACCGTAGCCGCGGCGGCAGTCGCAGGAGTGTCCAAAGCACCTGCAGCTGAGGCACTGTTGCCTCCCTCTGCCTTCACCGCCGCTACTTCCACCAGCCTCTGCCGTACCTCCTCCACACTGGCTCCCACCGCCGCCGCCAGCACCTGCATCTGGCAGGCTTCGTCCGTCAGGAAGCCCCCATGCCCCAGCTGCTCATGGAACAACACGGTTGGGTGGCTGCTGCAGCCTGCACCTCTCGCGCCACCTCCACCACCTCCGCCCCCACCAGCATCCGCGTCACGCCCCATCATGGCCGCCCTGTTTGCCAGTATGGCCGCCACCTCGCGCACCGGCACCAGGTTGTCCCGCCCGCACAGCACCACCGTGCTGTCCGCCGGCAGCTCGGAGGGCCACAGGTTGACGGCGGCCCAGTCCAGTCGCCGCCGCAGCGCCACGGAGCAGTGGAACTCCGCAACCACCAGGCCCTTGAGCAGGCTGCGCAGCAGACCGGACTGTTGCGGGTTGTTGGAAGGAGTGGAGGAGGTAGGGGAGGAAGGAGAGGCGGAAGCAGCGCTGGCGGGTTCGGAGAGCGGCGCTGCGGCTGCGGCTGCTTGGGCACTGTTACGGGGCTGCACAGGCTGCCAGTGGTCGGGAGCTGCCGCCATTGTTGCTGGGGCTGCATGGGGTTGCACGGGTTGCTGGTAGATGGCGTTGCGGACCAGGTGCGGCAGGAACATGGCGAAGCTGCGGAGGGAGGGAGGGAGGTGGCAGAGAAGAGGGGGACCCGTTGGGCTACTGCGAGCGAGGTGAGGGGCATGCGAGAAAGAACTACCTCTGGGATGGCCGGTCAATGAAACTCACAAGCAGTGTCATTGGACTCACCAAACTCATACAACCAAGGCACCTCCCCCACCTACACGCCCGTGTTGCTACACATGGACCCAGCCCCGCTTCTTAAGCCTCACCACACGGGGTCCACCAGCGTGAGGCGGGCGATTGCGGGTGCCCTTGCCGTTGTTGCCGTTGTTGCCGTTGTTGCTGTTGCGGGCGCCGCTGCTGCCATCTTGGTTAGCGCCGAGGCCACCAGGCTGCCGTACGAGTGGGCCAGCAGCGACATGCGGGTGACACCCTGCTGGGGGGGAGGGAGAGCGCAGAGGGTAGGGTAGAGAAATGAGTGGCTGTAGGCACGCGCGTATGTCACTCGCAGCACGACCCAGCCTTTTCAAGGAAAGCAGGAAGGGAAGCCATAGCAGGTGATAATGCACAAACCCCTTCAATTCCCATACCCAGCACCCAGCACCCAGCACCCCCGCCAGCCCCCACCCTGCTGCTGAGGAATGCCGCCACATCCGCCGCCAGCTGCTGCGGTGCGGGGATGCTGCCGGTGAGCCGCATGGACACGTGCTTGTACTGCACAGCGAACACACGGCGGGGGGGAGACCGCCGCCGCTGCTGCTGCTGCTGGTGTTGCTGCTGCTTGCCGTTATCATCGCCTCCAGTCACAGCTACAAGGCGACTGAGTACCCGAAGGTATGGCGTAAGGCCCAGCCCGATACCATGCAGGAAGACCAGCGGAACCTCCTCCCCGTCCTCCTCTTCCTTGTTGTCAGGCGTTTCCGCAGCGCTGCCGTCGTTAGCAGCGGCGCGGCCCTCCTGCGGCGGCCGCGGTGGTTCCCAGACGTACACGGTGGCTGTGCCGGCGGGTGTGGAGTGGGGTTTGAAGCCCATGAGCCGCAGCGCGATGTGGGTGGCGGCGGCGATGGCCTCCATGAGCAGGTAGAAGGTGAGAGGGCGGTAGCTGGCGACCAGCGGGTCCGAAGACACGGCCAGCAGCTTGGCAGCGGCGGCGGTGGCGGTGGCGGAAGTGGCGGAAGCGGGTGCGGCTGCAGTAGCCATGGTGGTGGTGGGGGAAGCAGCAGCGCCGGCGGAGGAGGAAACGGGGGTACCGGTAGCAGCTGCCGTCGGCGCCGTGGGCTGCATGTCATGGTGGTGGTGGTGGTGGTGGTGGTGGTGGTCACAGTGTACGAGCTGCATGAGGCGGCAGGCCCAGAGGTGCAGCCGTGGACTCAGGGAAGAGGAGTCTGCAGCCGCTGTCATAGCGGAGGACGCCACATGTGATGATGCGCTGGCAGTATGGGCAGTAGGGGCAGCTTGGGCAGTGGCAGCTGCTGCTGCCCCATCAGCAGTCGGCGATGGCAGCAGCAGGTGTTGCAGCAGCAGCTGCAGGTGTGTGAGGTGCAGCTGGTGCGGCCCCGCCAGCCCGCTGAACCACTGGGACAGCAGGTGGCCGCCGCGCAGCAGGGGAAGGTGGCCCTCCTGGGGAAGGCGTAATAGGTGGTGGTTTGATGTAAGGAGGGTTTGACGAGAAGTCGGTGTGAAATGGTGTGGTGGAAGAGGGGGAGAGAGGATGAGGGTAACGGATGAAGGGGTTGCTCTGGAAAGGGGTGACGAGGCTAGTGTTTCCTAGGAGTCAGGGTGTATGTGTTTCTTACTTAACAGTGCGGACCCCGGTGGCACTAGAGGGCCAAACCAGCGTTGGGGCACGACAAACAGGCCGAGCACAGGGTACCATGGTAAAGGGGCAGGACAAAGTATGTGCCCAACTGAAACGCATACAAGGCCCTTTCTCACCCGCTCATCGAACAGCTTGTCCGCCACTAATTCCGCGTGAAGGTTGTGAATGCTGCTTTCGCGCTCCATGGCGCTGTCACTTGAAGGTGATATCGATAGTCCATCCCGACTGCTGGCATTGGCGACTTGGGTCGGTGAGCTTGCTGTCGCCGCTTTGGTTGCGGATGACCTGCCATAGCCAAGCAGCTGTACGACAGCCGTTGCAGAAAGTCCATTGAAACGGCGCACAGTAGACGACGACGACCTTGAGGTTGCCGCCGCTGACGAGATGGGAGCGTTGTGTGCGCGATACCGTACAGCGGCTGAGGCAGCAAAAATGACTTCACAGCATGCAAGGCTGAACGCAACAGGTGCAGGTAGGGTTGCGGTCGCGGCGACAACAAGTCCGAAGGACATCTGTCGATGCGGAAGGGCGGGGGAGGCGAGAAGCCGTTATTAACCGATCAGTTAGGAATGTAATAAGGCATATTACAAATACTTGCGGGGCCGCAACTGCTGTGGTGCTAGTCCGGCGTCGGGCTATCCTCGTAAAGGAGCTTGAGGCATCAGCCATGGTTGGAATGCCATCAACAGGTTTTAGGTCCCGTTTTCCAGTAAAAAAACGAAGGCCCGACCTACCAGCGAAGCTGCGTCCACAGTCCATCTTTGCATACACAGATGGAATGGCAAGCGGTTACTGTGGGGGCTCGACGATTACTGCCGGTGACGGTTAGACAAGTCGCGAAGGTCCAGTCAATGCGGGACTGGCTGCAACAATGCAGCCTGCTTGATGTAAAATGCGCCTCGCGCGTGTCCTAGAGCTGAAAGACGGGCGGCTGTTGTGCGATTCCCAAGGCAGGCCGCCAGGCCTCAACCACCAACTGCTACGTCTACCAGGACGTCAGGCCAACCAGGCCGGAAATGCTACTTGAGTTTCCAAACAATAAAAGGACATGTTAGGTTAAGTGCAAAGTATAGAGCTTGAGAGTGAAGTAACCTGAAGCAGTCCGCTCCCGGTCAAAGTTTTTAAAGTCATCGGCAACCCTTGAGCCTTCCTGTTTGCATTATATCCGATTATACATAAAGCAGCAATGGCTACCGAGCTACAAACGTCCAGGTATGTACCAGACTTCATGTTTTATCTGTTGCATGCCGGAGCAACATGGCAATCATTTGGCAACTTTCAGGGTTATTCAGCACTAACTTCTAATAAAAGGATTGCTTTTATTGCATCTATCACGTTTAAGACATATGCAATACTGCCTTACTCGGAGTTGCGACTGCATGCCATCGGTCGCGACTCGTCCGCCTGCTTGTCTTCAGCTCCCAACCTGCTTGAAAAACACGGAGTTTAATTACTTTCACCATTCTCCCAAGGGACTGTTCATTCTTTCGCTACTGCTCCCTCCCCTTCGTGACGCCCTGCCACGACATGACGCTCATCCTGACGGCCGCTGCTTGCTCCCTCGCCCTTGCAGCCAAGGCTCAGTTGTGCCGTACACACATATTACCGGCCCCGATGCCTGGGTCGCCTCCGACTATGCCGTTCTGGAGGACCATATTCTGCACCTCAGCGCCCAGCACGTGGCTGAGCTAGATGCCGCAGTGGAGGCGGTGCTAGGGAGCGGCAAGAACTTGCAGGTGCGATGGGAGTTAAGTGCTGTGATATATATCATCGTTTTCCCCGACATTGTACCTCGCGACCTTTACAACTCTACGGTCGCCTTCAACTCCTGTTCCTGCGTCCCTCTTAACTCCCCGACACAGGATGTCGACGCCTCCGATTTCTCCCTGCCCACCCTCTCCGGCCCGCTGCTGGAGGCCGGCCAGCAAGCGCAGTCGGGTCGCGGCTGGGCGGTCATCCGCGGTGTGCCCGTACAGCGCTACAGCCGGCAGCAGCAGTTGGCCGCGTTCTGGATCCTGGGTCTGCACTGGGGCCGCGCCGTGCCGCAGAATGCCAAAGGGCACCTGATCGGCCACATCAAGGACATCGGACACGACCCCAAAAACCCGCTAACGCGCCTCTACGCCACCAACGCTGCGCAGCCCTGGCACAACGACGGTCCCGCTGATCTTGTCTGTGAGTCGAATTAAGGGGTTGCAGCAGCTGCTGCTGCTGCATGGCTGATACCCTGGTAGTCGCAACCGCACCGGTTAGCATTCTGGCGCATGGCGCATGGTTTGTTTGGTACCCTGCCCCACCTGACCACATTCGTTGCGTCCCCTCCCTCCGCACCCCGCCCCGCCCCACATGCAGCTCTGCTGTGCCTGTCTAATGCTGAGGAGGGCGGCGAGAGCGGCTGGTCTTCCTCCGTATCGGTGCACAATGAGATCCTGCGCCGCGCACCGCACCTTGTACCGGTGCTGGCAGGGCCATGGTTCTTCGACCGCAAAACGGAGGTGCCCGAGGGTAAGTGCATGGGGCCTTCGGCCTTGTTGCCCATAAGTGCGCCAAACGCATGCATGCTGCATCTCATGGGTTCTTAGCCCTAGCATGCATTCATGCCCTCCTCCCGCCGCCACCCACCCCCTGCACCCCCTGTCCCTGCAGGCAAGCAGCCCTTCTTCGAGATCCCCGTCTTCAACTACCACCGCGGCTACCTCTCCGTCAACTACTCGGACAACTACTACCACCTCAGCCAGCGCCACCCGGAGGTGCCCCGCCTGACCCCGCAGCACCACGAAGCCCTGGCGCTGTTCAACGAACTGGCAGCCAGCCCGCAGCTCAGCCTGCGTACCGTGCTACAGCCCGGGGACGTGCAGCTGGTGTCCAACCACACCTGCCTGCACTACCGCGGCGCTTTCAAGTAGGTGTTGCAGTGTGTGGGGTGGTGCTGCTGGTTCTGATTTGTGTAGGGGTTTTGGCTGCGTGGGTTTAGCTAGCTGGTATGGTCAGCGCGTGACCCATGGTTCACAAGCCGAAGAAGGGTGGGGGAATCATCACAACCGGCTGATTATAAGCGGTGCAACGTAACCTGACCATGCATGTACGACTGAGCGTGTACGGTTGTCTTTCATGCATGCTCTACCTGCACCCGGCGCATTTGTCGCCCATCCCACCTATGCTTTCAACCTTCACCACCACAGAACATTAAGTCACCCTCACTCTCGCTTCCCTCCTAACCCCCGCAGGGACAGCCCCGCCCACACTCGTCACCTGCTGCGGCTGTGGCTGTCGCCGCCCGCTGACCGGCCGCTGCCGCAGTGCTACGCGGAGATCATGGGCGGCAGTGTGGTGCCGGGCAAGCGGGGAGGCATCATCATCCAGGGGGCAGTGCCCAACATACCGGAGGAGGCGGAGTAGGGTGGAGGGGAGGACTGAGGCGTAAGAGCCAGAGGGAGGGAGGACTCTTGTGACTGCAAAGGGGCATGCGTATGTGACGGGTAGCGCTTGTGGAGTGAAGCGGTGGTGGGGCTTCTAGGGGTGGACGTGTAGACACGTGCAGCCAACCCACCCTGGGCACTTGCCCCGAATGATGAAGCCGAGAGGGAAGAGAGAAGTGAGCGGTGGTGTAGAAATAATGACTGCTACAGTGGTTCCTGTGGCAATCACTATATATAGGAGGTTATAGTGTTGTTGGGCTCGTGAATCCGTTATGCCTTGAGGTCCTTAACGCGTACTGGGGGCCGGGTGTGGGGAGGATGAAGTTGAGCAAGCGAGCGAGCGAGTGAGGTGGAAGGCAGGGGTAAAATGGGTTGCGAATCGTGTGGTGCACACCTTTGAAGGCGAGACGTTTTGCCAGACACACTTGACCAGGTGTGCGGACTGTGCTGACGTGACCGGGGATTGCGGGAATACTACAAGGCATGTATCACTACTGCGGTTTTGCGGGTGTATGTATTATATTGCCGCCCATCGAACTACCCGGTATGTATTTTATACTTTGGTTGTATGAGGTTACACGCAAATGGGGCCCATGATGCAGTGGGATGTAGCTAGGGATGTAGCTCAATGTACCAGTGCGTATCGGCGGCAATCCCGCCTGGAATCATGTATACAGACACGCATGCAACGATGCAACACGTGTGACCGTCGACCCATGAGGCCCGCCCCCTGTGACGGTCTCAAATACTGCTGTGTTCGTGTCTCTTTTTTCGCTCAAAGGTGGCTTCTGACATGGGTGCAGCTGCTAACACGTATAACCGTACGCCATTCACCCTTCGCATGCCCTAGGTTGATATGGAGCCTTAGAGCACACCTCTACCCCATGTTCTGCAGGTGCATGTCAAAGCTTGCAAGCTGGGATGATAGGAGTAGGATACAAGTTGCTGTAGGTCACGGCATTGCGGTCTGAAGGAAGTGCTGAGTCGGGCCACTGTCACATCCATCCACGCTAGGGTTTGGTCACAGGCACATCCACCTTGCGTTGTCTGTTTGAGAGCCCATTAACCTTTGTTTCAGAACACTCCTTAACGCAAAAGCGCCAGCACAGTGCTACGTTTGGCTTTAGGATTTGGAAAGCCAAACCATTGCGCATCGCATATATGTTAGCGAGGAAACGTGGTCAAGGAAAACTAGGCAGGTACTATGTAGAGGTAAAGTGAGAATAAGAATATCTGGACTACGGGTTCTGGGCGCCCAGGTACTGTCTGCTGTACCTTTCGGTACCATAAAGGTACCGGGACTTGGTAGTGGCAAAAGTTGTCAGCTGTAATTTCAGAACAAGAAAGATCGTATAGTCAATACATTTTCTTACATGTTGATGTTGATAGAACACCAAAGAAAGAGGGTGTGCTCTTTGTACGGGCGCTCACAACTGCTGTCGTCGTAACCAGATCGTTGGATCCATGTTGACTTGCTTTTGCGCTGGAGGCCGACCAAGGCAAGGCGGCTAAAGCCTTCTGTCCTACAATCCCTTAGGTCTGCAAGAGGGACTGCGCTACCATAAGCGGCTGTTGACAAACGCCTTAGCAGGCCAACGCCTAAGCATCACAAGCATTTAGGCTGGAAGGAATTATGATATACTAGAAATTAGGATTTTTACTTGCAGCGAGGTCCTGATCAAGGGATCGTAAATGATCTCGTTGACGAACAGCTTGGCACGACTTCCGAAGACCGCTGACGACCCGCACCCCCAGACGCAGAAGCCCCAACTCTTCCTTTGTACTTGTGTATCATACAAGTTTCAGCCATTGCCAACTCCGTTAGATGTTTAGCAGCGCGTTAGCAAGTATAATAGGCGAGGGCGGGGCAGATGCGGGAACGGAGCGGCCCGCCAGCTATCTTCTCCGAAGTTTCAACCCCGAGAACTGATACAAACCAGCACACACTAAAGCCTCTATCTTCACTAGCGGAGGAGCAGCCTCGGCCTGCAGCGCCAGACGCTTCGTCATTGCGCTTTTGCGCGCCACAGCCATGCGACTGCGGAAACTGCGAGCTTCAGCCGCGTCCGGCTTCGCAAGGGAGCAAGGATTCACTTAATCCTGCAAACGTTCGACATCGCATTGATGTCGATAATGGGGGCCACTTGCTGGAAAGCCTTCATAGGGCCGATGGACAGCATGTGAGGGAGTGGTCGAGTGCTGAGCAAGACCCCAATGCGCACGCCGACCATGCCAGCTACACAGTCACAGAACCCTCGATCGCAGATGCATCCACCACATCAGCCGCTGTCAACAGAATAACTCCACAGTCGTCAGAGCCGCTAGTATCTCCCGATGCAGAGGGCCCATCCTGCAGTGGCGGCAGTGGCGCCGTCTGTGTGAATACGGCAGTGGCTACAGCTGCAGCACCGTACGAGGAGCCACTGGTCGCTCCTACGATGCCGTGTGCTGCCATACGTACGACAGACCGGGGAGGAGCGCAACCCCTAGGGCCAGCGCAACAGCCAACACAGCCGCTTTCACAGCCACCAGAATCATCTCTGCCGCCAGGACCGCTGCCGCAGCCCCCATCGGAGCAGCGGCGGCGGCAACAGACACAACAGGCCGACGGTAAGCAGGCCGCGGCAACGGATGGCGGCAGCAGCGTCGTACGTCGGCCGTCTCCAGAAGCCCAACAGCCGCCGACGACGACGACGGCGACGGTGATGATGGCGACGCAACCGCTGGCGGCGTTTCCCGTTCCCTTGGCCTCACCGTCTTGGGCTGGCTTTCCGTTCTCCGCAATGCCGTTGCCGATGCAAGTGCCGCTACTGTCCTCACGTACCGCACCACCACCGCAGCAACCGCCGCCTCCGTACACATCAGGGCAGCAGCAGCAGCAAAATGATCACCAACGACCGCGGTTGTCGCCAGCGCTGCCACAGCAGCAGCAACGAGGGCAGAAGCAGCAGCAGCAACCGCCACAAGCTCAATCCACGCCTCAAACCACCCAGCAGCAGCAGCGGCGGACGAGTAGCGAGCAGCCACAGGAACCGCCCCAGAAACTGGAACGGAAGAGCCAGCAGGGTATGGTTACTGCGGACTTAACCGCCACCGCCGCCACCTCCAACGACCTCCTGCTACCTCCCCATGTGCTTCCCTGGCTACCATGGCTGGCCCCGACCGTCGTGCCGCCTGCTTCATCCAACCTACATCCATGCAATCCCTCAAACAAGTCAGGCACCGCCCGCGACGCTGCGCCCTTTCGGCGCCTTAGCCGTCCGTCGGAATGCTGTGTAGTGGCCAACGAGTCAGGGCTTGCCGACCCATGGGTCGCTCCAGTTGCTTGTGCGTCTGCTGCTGTTCCCGTTCTTGCAATACCTCCTGCTGGCGCCATTACTGCGGACCTTGCCGTTGAAGCACAAGGTGAGTTCGCGCAACCGGCCGACGTGCAAACGCAATCATTGCCGTTGCCGCTGCCGCAGCAGCCCCAACGACGGCGGCGCCAGTCAGAGACCCAGCAGCAGCAGCAGCAGCAACAACAACGGCAGCAGGCATCTCAGCAGCAGCAGCAGCAGCAGCAGCAGCAGAAGAGACCCTCCGGGGGCACCCCGATGATGTCCGAGGTGCTAACAAGGCCACAAACAAGGCCGCAGCAGCATTCGCTCCCGAAACCCCACTTTGTGCCTTTCCAAGGCTTTCAGCGAACGAGCGCCCCTGATTGCGCCGCTGCTGCTGGTGATGCCGGTGCCGGTGCTACTGCCATTGCTACTGGTGAGGCGTCAGCAGCGGCGGTGGCGGTGGGAGCAGGCACTGGAAGCAGTTGCCGAGGAGGCAGTGGCGGGCAGCGGAGAAGCTCAGAGATGGGGTTCAGATACGTCGTACAGGTGAGGTCATGTGGCGTGAGTATATGTGGCAGAGGAGAGGACTTTACCCCGGCGTATGCTTTGGCAAGACAATCGACCTATGAGTTATTAATCTTGTAGCCTTGAATCTCTGCATTAGGGCCTCTTCTAAACGGTAGCTCCTCTTCAAGTCACAGCGGCATTCCGGCTGGGTATCTTCGGGTGCAGGTGGGGGACAAGTGGCGGGCGCAGGTGACGCTGGTGGTGGGCGGAACTCAGCAGAAGTATCACACGGGCTTGGTGGGCGCTGCGGAGCAGGCGGCACGAGATGCGGACAGGTGAGCAGCAGCTGCGCTCACACTCTGAAGCAGCCGCTTAGGGGCCTACCGTGTCCCAGGACTAGTAAGACCATGCGCCACCCAAAGTTGAGAACATGGTGCACTGCCGCATGCTGGTCGGGCTTGGCGTCTGTTGTAATATGGCGATGGTGCTGTACTCCTTGTGACCCGTGGGTCGTTCGTAAAACGGCACTCCGCTCTCTAAGTTCCTCCGCTTGGTGGCCTGCCCTTCCATAGGCTGCTGTACAAGTTACGCGGACCCGGCATACCGCTCAACTTTGAGCTGTCCGAAAGGGAACGCCAGGTTCTTGATTGCGTACCA